CGGTTAGGAAGTTGTTCATAAACGATACATTGATCTACTCGATTCTTGCGAGGCTAAGATAGAGGGGTCGGCTCGGGAAAAACCTTGAAAGAGACAACCAAACGCCTATGTCCGTCATAAAACTTACTCAGGGGGAGATAATTCAAAGTATAATCCCTAAAAGTTTACTATGACATTTCTCGTAAAAGCCAAAAGAAGTAAACGTATATAAAACCGAAGTTTCTAGTATTATATTATTTTTTGTTATTTGTAGGATACAGGATAGTACAGAAAAGAAATTGTATCAATATCACAAACACATATTAACATTGAAAAATGTACAATGGATTTTGGGCCCTAACTAATGACGCAAATAAATACCGCACATCATGAAGGTCCATTTCATCTAGCGGCTTCTCGAAGCAATGGGCTTTATTTTCAAAGTATTTTGCCAGCGACAGCGTGTGTTTAATTGTAGGTAGGATTCGGCCATGACGATGGTTACAAAAATACAATTATAAATAACTTTTTTAATATATAAATAAATTTGAGAACAATTTTCGAGCCCCATATTAGGTCTCCATCCCCTCCCCGATCCGCCACACTCCACTTTGGAGGATCGGTCGAACAGTTACGTGTCCCCTACTGGCTATAAAAGGGGAGCAATGAGTCACAGGGGTCATTAAAAGTTCAAGGGTTGCCTATATTTTACACTGCAGTTTGTGTAAACAATTTAAATGTTTGCGGAAGAGCGTGACTGTAAAATAAAGATAAGAGTACCGTAGTTATAGTATTTTTAGTGATAAACAAAATATCAAGGACAAAATGCAAGAAAATTAATTCTGAATTTGTTTTTTTTAATATTAATTCTGATCGGCTGTGGGCCCCATAAACGGCCTGGGTCCCCCCGCACTGCGGAGTCTGGCGGCACTGTAGTTCCGCCCATGTGGAAGAAATTAATACGATTTTAGTACAATTAATAGTGTTAAATAAGTTATATATTTTCAAAAGCTTTACTTTTGTGCAAAAACATTTTTTATAACCTTTAAAAGTAAGAAGTGAATGTAATTTGCTTGACTAAAAAAAGACTGGGCTCTGAATGCTGAAAAGCTGAACAAAGAACTTATTTTGGTTGTTGATTTTGTACGCACTTCTATCATTGAACTTTATATTAATGGGAACATGAGCGCATGGCTTTTATTTTTAGTCAGGAAAATTAAATTTCTGACTTTTTAGTGCATTTTCATTTTCTCGTATACAGAGTATAGAGTAATCGTGCACAAAAATCATGAAATTTTCACTTTTTTGTCGTTTTACACCTCAGTACTTCATTATATACGGAGTGTAGGGGACTTATTTTAATCGGGCAAAATTATAAATCCAGATGTATCAAAATTTCGGCGTTTTATGCGTATTCGAGTCAGAAAAATTGGGCTTCGTAATTTTGTCCGTATGTCCGTGTGTAAATACTGTAAACACGATAACTTGAGTACCGTTACAGCTAGGTTTATGAAATGTGATATATAAGTATTATATCAATTGGAGTTCTGTATCAATTTTTCAGCGATTTCCGATAACTGGAAGTGGGACTAATTTTCCTTTTTGTTTTTCAAAAGCCTATAACTTGAATACTGTTTCAGATAGATAAATAAAATTTCACATGTAAGTAAAAGATTTAATTTCCTGCCATCTATCAAATTTTGAGTAATTTCAGTTGACCGGAAGTAGTAATTGACGCTATATTACCAATTTCTCTAAAAAATGAAAATGAATTTATAAACTACTAATAATATTCCGCACTATTATACATATATTGTTTGCCATTCACTTGGTGTGCAATTCTTTTTTCTACGAGATTATATTCTATTTTAAAAAGTTTAAGCAATTAAAAATGGATTAAAAATCATTTCTATATCCCACGTTGCCATCCCCCGTTGTGTTATATTAGAATATTCGAGAGGGGAGATCACTCCCGGTTTATTTCAATTGTGATTTCTTTTATTGTTGTTGGTGTTGTTGTTCTGATTTTTTAATATAATAAATAGCCCTTTTCCACACACAAAAAGCCATGTGAAATTTATTTTTCCACTTTTCAGTCATTCGTTCGAAATGAAGTGGATACCACATAGGCTACGACTAGGTGACTTGAGCTGTATGTGACTTATGTGACTTAAGCTGTATGTGACTCAAGTGACATACACAGTTGTCTGACTTTTGTACAACTTTCATGTACACTCTTGTATCACTTTTATACAACAGCCACGTACACACTCTTTGTAACCGCCATAGTGCTCACAGGGGGCAGTGGGTCACACGACCGCCGTGACACCGACAGACGACTGGTTGGATTAAGTCAACAGTTATGGTAGCCTGACGTTTCCATAGTGTATGGCGCTCTTTAAAACGAACATAGGCGCTATAGTGCTAACGCGGGATCCCGAGACGCACCGGATCAGCCATGGGTATTTGGTGCAAGTTGACCATTGAATCAATTACAAAACCTGACCCGTAGTACCTAATCAATTGAACCCAGGAGCTAAAATAGCAGAAAATTTCCCAAGAGTATTTTCATCAACTTCCCAAAGTTTCATGGCCATCGGATCATAATTGAGGTAAGGCATAGATAGCCAAATAAACACACACATACACAGGCATATTTTCATTACAGTCTTTGTAATTTCGTTCATGGTGTGAACTGACAGAAGGAACTTGACCACTCTGTCAAACAAGTCTGAGTCAACGGTTCCTGCGGTACACAGCAGGTTGACAGGTAAGACTTTCTCCGTGGTACACAGCAGGTTGACAGGTAAGACTTTCCCCGTGGTAGACAAGTAAGACTTTCCCCGTGGTAGACAGGTAAGACTTTCCCCGTGGTAGACAGGTAAGACTTTCCCCATGGTAGGCAACATGACAGGCAAGACATTATTGTGTTGGAGCAAATCCCCTACAGCTAAGAACGAAGAAGATACAAAACTGACGGCACAGTAACCGCCCAGACTTGATGATGCAAACAAAATGGCCGAAAACCTAGACACAAGAGAGTATCCCTGGAGAGTATTGGAGAGTATTGGAGAGTATTGGAGAGTATTGGAGAGTATTGGAGAGTATTCCAGAAAGGTTTACAACATTGACCCACCCGTGAGCCGAGTCGACCTTCACCTTGATACTTCCAACATTGTATCAGCATGATAAGCCATGAACCCGCTCTAATAGCTAGCAGACAAAAACTAAACTTTTTAAAATTTTAACAGCTGGTGGAGAAGCTTTTAACAACTCGTGTCGTGAGATGGGCGGGAACTAAATAACGACTTGATAATGATTTTAATTATTAAAAACATTACGGAAAATGCACAATGACATTTTAATTCATTTCCAATATCAGCGGTCGCATGATTATAATACCCCCCCCCCTCTCCCCTGCATTACATACGCTAGATCAAATTAAAATATGAATTGGTAATTTCAACTCTAATTTTTATACTGGATTACCTGAAGGGAGACAATCACCTCCTAGTGTTATCATTACCTAAAGGGCGACAATCACACCACATATTGCCATCATTACACTCAATTTGTGGGCCAACGCGCCGCTGGTAACAAGAATTTTCCACCTAAAAATAGCACATAGCCATTTTGTCACCGTCTTTGAATAAAGTTTATAATTGACTTAATTAATCTATTGATCACGTGTCATCACACAAATTATTATAGCGCCCAAACTCTTCCTGGTACATCGGCCTAGTTAAAGACACGGGTAAGACAAGACTTTCTCAAGACATAGAACATACACCTTTGTCTTAGGGCTAAAGACACGGGTAAGACAAGACTTTCTCGCGGCATAGAACATACACCTTTGTCTTAGGGCTAAAGACACGGGTAAGACAAGACTTTCTCAAGACATAGAACATACACCTTTGTCTTAGGGCTAAAGACACGGGTAAGACAAGACTTTCTCAAGACATAGAACATACACCTTTGTCTTAGGGCTAAAGATACGGGTAAGACAAGACTTTCTCAAGACATAGAACATACACCTTTGTCTTAGGGCTAAAGACACGGGTAAGACAAGACTTTCTCAAGACATAGAACATACACCTTTGTCTTAGGGCTAAAGACACGGGTAAGGCAAGACTTTCTCAAGACATAGAACATACACCTTTGTCTTAGGGCTAAAGACACAAGACAAGACTTTCTCAAGACTTAGAATATACACCTTTGTCTTAGGGCTAAAGACACGGGTAAGACAAGACTTTCTCGCGGCATAGAACATACACCTTTGTCTTAGGGCTAAAGACACGGGTAAGACAAGACTTTCTCAAGACATAGAACATACACCTTTGTCTTAGGGCTAAAGACACGGGTAAGACAAGACTTTCTCAAGACATAGAACATACACCTTTGTCTTAGGGCTAAAGACACGGGTAAGGCAAGACTTTCTCAAGACATAGAACATACACCTTTGTCTTAGGGCTAAAGACACAAGACAAGACTTTCTCAAGACTTAGAACATATACCTTTGTCTTAGGGCTAAAGACACGGGTAAGACAAGGCTTTCTCGCGGCATAGAACATACACCTTTGTCTTAGGGCTAAAGACACGGGTAAGTATAACCACCTCCGCACCACAACACGAATCTCTCTTACATGTAGTATAACCACCACCACACTACAACACAATGCTCTCTTACATGTGGTATAATCTAAATTTTGTTTAAAGAAGGAAAATAAAAATAAATGCATATTCTAAATGTAGTAACATATTTCTAACTAAAGCGTTTATTGTCGTGACAAGAACACAATAAACAATGGCCTACCTGTCAGAGTATTTATCGCTACCTTTTAGAATGGTAACGGAGTGGGGACAGCGGTCTCTCTTCCGCCACCCTCCCCCAGCTGAAGACTAGAGGTTTCTCCTCAATGTTTTTTTTTTTTTTTTTAATATTATTTTCTCTTTCATTAAATTTAGTTGCAGATTTGATCAGAGAAATTTCAGGTTCAAATTTTTTGAAGACGTTACGTAGCATGGAGTCGTCGACCTATCTAGTCCAGATGAAAGGGACCTCAACACACCTGGCGCAGGTGACAGGGACCTACACTGCCAGCTTCTTCACAGTTGACCAGTACCTACTGGTCCTACAGGTCCTGTCAGTGTCCTACACCGTGTTCAGCTCATTCGGCGTGGCTACTAACTCGCTAAACCTGGCCACTTTTGTTCAAATCGGGCCGACAGACGGCGTCACTGTCTCCTTCCTGTGCCTCTCCGTGACAGACTTGGGCTTTTCTCTGGTGTCTTTGGCGGGGGGTGTGGCCACCATACTCAGCATGCTGGAGGCCAAACTGAGGGTCCGCTTTCAGATCGACCCCTACGCCGTGACGGTGTTCTGTGGCACGGTGAGCAGCATGCTGTACGTGGTGACGGTACTCAACACGACCTTCCTGGCCGTCGCGCGCTGCCTCTGTGTGGCCAGACCTTTGCACTTCAAGCACCTGGTCACCACCAAAGTATCCGTCGTGTTTTTTCTCGTCTTCACAACTTTCTCCCTGGTGTGTTTTGTGCCGGTGCTGGCCAACATGGGCATGATGGACACAGCAGACGGCGCGACCAACAAGAGCAGACGAACTCTGGTTCTGTCAGCTCAAAGGCCGGCACTCAATGACGCCGCGCTCTTTGTCTCCAACCTCGTTCTGCCCATTTCTACTGAGGTCATCACTGGCGCATGCGTAGTCGTTCTCGTCAATTGTTTAAGATCGGCTTCCGCTTCTAGACAAACTCTGACAGGCAGTTCTAGAACATCGGCAGTCGAGAGTTCGAAACTCACTGGGAAAGACCTGCAGGTGGTCAAACAGGTGGCCTTCATCGCTTGTCTGTATGTCGTCTGCAACACGCCCAAGACCGTCATAGCCATCGGCACCTTCGCGGAGCCAGAGTTCAAGCTGGAGCGGAAGTTGAAGGACATCTACATAACTTCTGTTGGCATCCGGACCATCTTCGAGATCATCAACGCCAGCCTCAATTTTGTCATCTATTTTCATTTTAATTCTAAGTTTAGACGACTGTGCTTTCATCAGCAACAGTTCTTTAGGAGATCCAATTTTCAGTATATTAACTAACCTCAGATGGACTTGATAGACGTGCAACAACAGTGTGTTGCCTTAGTACGGAAGATAGGACCTCACGTTCGTGTGTGCATAATTTGATGTCTAGTTACAAAAATTAAATCGATTGATTTTGGTTGGTTGAAATAAACCTTTTAATAGCTGAGCTTTTTAGTGGGCTAATTGTGGCGATCATTCTATTAGCCTCCATTCCAGATATCTTAAAATCTGGCTGAAAACTTTAAAACTTCCAACCGAGTAGGATAATGTTCGTAGATTCCTTGGTGCTGGTTACAATAGGGCTGGTAAGTAGGTCACCAACCGGTTCTACGGCTCAATGAAACCTGCATGAACCAAAGAACTGGTTGGTGACCTACTTACCAGCCCTATTGTCTGGCTGGGTTAGGCGTCTTTCTCTGGGGAGTGTCGGGTCTGCACGGGTCATTGATCTCTGGAGAAAGTGTCGGGTCTGCACGGGTCATTGATCTCTGGAGAAAGTGTCGGGTCTGTATGGGTCATTGATCTCTGGAGAAAGTGTCGGGTGTGCAGGGGTCATTGATCTCTGGAGAAAGTGTCGGGTCTGTATGGGTCATTGATCTCTGGAGAAAGTGTCGGGTCTGTATGGGTCATTGATCTCTGGAGAAAGTGTCGGGTCTGCCTCGGTGGTACTTTAAAGAACCATGAGTGTAGGGAGACACACACACATTTTGTGAAACTACACATTTTTCAAATCGTATTGTATTTCTTTTCCCTGATTGCGATGGATTCATAATACAATATTGATAAATTGTTTCTTTCATGGACACTAACTCCCACTATTAATAGTATCTCTCTAAAGAAAAACACAAGGAAAATTAAAAACTTTCACTGTCAAACGAAACGAAATTTCACAAAGAAACACGAAAAAAAATGACATCACAGATTCCAGAGTGAATCTAATAATTAAAAAAAAACAACACATTAATAATGACGTCATCGATACTCGATTATAAAAAAACAATAGTATAATCGCATAATTTATGTGTCTAATTATAACAGTGGTTTTCATGTAAAGTTTCTTTCAGGCATTTCTTTGGGTTGGGTGGGGAGGGGGGGGGGGGACTACGTGCAGATCAAGGTTACAAGATAGAGTATTGTGGTAATGTCTACATTTAGCGTCTATACACACAAAAGAATCGCGTATTTGATTGTTGAATAAAAAAATAGAATTAAGAATCAAATGCCAAAAATTATACACTATAATAATGACATTATTGACAATAGAGACAAATAAAATTAAACGCCTAATTTAATTGTCTAATTTTTAAAGTGAATGTAGATATAAAAAATATAACTTGTTTTATATATATATATATATATATATATATATATATATATATATATATATATATATATATATATATATATATATATATATATATATGTGTGTGTGTGTGTGTAGTAAGTGTTGGTGTCAGGATTAAGGTTAGGGTTATCAGATGTTTTATTTTAAGTTAAATTTCCAGATCCATTTAAAATGGCTATTCTGGATTAAAAATCCATTTCAATTACATTTTTCGTTTCATGTTAAATTTGAAGTTAAATTGTAATTTTTTGTTTTGGTTTCGGTTTATAGAAAGAGACAACACCGTCAACCTAGCGCCTGTTGTATTTTCCACTCAACGGGCGCAAATTCTTATTTAAAAAAATAATTTATAATAGTTATATCTATTTTGTAATTTATTTTCAATTTTTTTTGTGCATTATTACATAAAAGCTTGTTATTAAAACTTGTTTTATGAATATTTTTAGCGCAATTTCCATTCTGGAGAATTGCGTTTATTAACCCGTCATTTCTGGATGTATGAATGAATGGATGGATGGATGTGTGTCCGCAGCTTTAAGTCGTATCTCCTCCTCAACGAAGCAATATCGATGACTAGTTCCAAAAGCAATTATGTTAAGCAAGTTACGAGGATGAGCATAGGCCATAAAAATTCCGGGTTTCTTTCATGTATTTCCCGGAAAAGCCAAAAAACCTCGAAAAAATGCAGTTTTTTGCTCATATCTCGGCAACCAGACCACTTAGCGACTTGAAACATGTACAAATCGATTCCTGCCATAATTTAGAACAATATTGCCGAAGAAAGTTTTCAAAAATATCCTCTCGTTCGGGCACAAATTTTAAAATAACATAAACACCTACAAACCGATCGTTCTTCTAGCTTGAACGCACCCCAGCATTATACGTCAGAGCTATTTTTAGATAACATAAGGAAATTGCGCATAAATGTCACTAGACTTTTTTAATTAACTTGTTTTTGTACTTTGCGTTTTATTTACACTAGAGTTGCATGACTAAAAACCATTGCGCACCTATTGAGCTTGATGATGCGTGTCTAATAGTGCGGAATAGTTTGATGAGACAGCCTACTAATTTGGACAACATTTTAATTAATTCATAAAAAATTAATCAGGCAACCAATTAAGTCAAATTTAATGTCATGTTTTATTGTCTTCATGTCTTGACCCACGTGTTCTAATTCTGACGAACATTTTAACGGTCTTGCTTTCACTTTCACCTAGCAAGTATTTAATGTCCAATCGATCGTCTCTAACTGCTAGAATTTTTCTGCATTAGATCACTTGTAGAAGTAGTTGAAACATGAAACTAAATCTAAGAGTTGGCTATACTAGATCTATACAGTTTTCAATTCTATGTGGCATGTTACATAACTCATGAATGAAACTTTGGAGTTATCGCACCTTTAAGCATAAAGACGAACATTCAATCCGCCATTTGAGCCGATGTTAAAGGATCCATAGACGTTCCCCGCGCCTTCTGCCAGCTAATCGATCAGATCTCCCCAGATCGGCTGCGATTATATGCTCATGCCGTCTTAAAACACCGAGGTAATGACTTCTGGCTACATCCAAAAAGTGAAGGCCAATTAGCTAAACATTCCATGGAATCTACCTGAACAAGGTGCAAATTTAAGTTCGTATCTGTCCTGCTTCGTCTAAGAACCAGAGAACAAGTAATTATCAAGAGTAATACTTTGCTGAATATTATGGTGATAATTATTGACTAGTTATTGGAAATTCTTTTAAATCAAAAGTTTTTCAGAACTTTTTGACTCATCTTTGTACTGGCCGCGTGGGTAGAGTGTGGAGGCAGATACAGTCAGGCTATTCCGTTTGGTAGGTTGCTTCCAATGGAGACTACGTTGGTTGTACCTCTGGTACAGTCTGTGAACCTAAGGGCTACGTTGGTTGAAGCACGAACATATAACAATAGATAACAATAAAACAAACTAACAGCTGCATTGATTGGATAATATCCTAATATATTAATGCCCATTTGCGCACTTCTCTCTATCTCTCTCTCTGTCCGCAAAATATTTTCAGATGTTATGATAACAGTATCTTCAGCGATATATGGAGAACTTGATATGGACTTTAGTTGAGAATAATATGTTAGATGTTTTAAATGTATAAACTAAATTTTAATTAAAGAATAAAAATAAAAATAAAGGAATATTCGAAGGTAGAAAAACATTTTTGATTATGCAGCCGGAAAAGTGTTTATGGTTGTGATAAGAACGCAACAAACAATGACGTCACATGTCCCATGTTTAGACTAGGGAAAGAATACAACACTAATCGCCTCATCTTCCGATTTTAGAATATAAAGAAATGAACTAGATCAATTTCATTCAAATTTGATTTAGATCAAGATTCTCTAACGGAATCTTTAAAGTCTCTTAATCAGTGAGTGCATTTAATATTTCTCGACCAATAAATCACATCCTAAAATTACATATTCATGTGTATATATTATATATATATATATATAATACTAGTGTGCCCGTCCCCTCGCTTTGCCGCGGGAATAGAAGAAAGTCTGACGAAATATTTAAGAGGTTTTTATCAATGCGTTACCAATACTTTATTTTTAGACGTGTGACCTTGTTTACTAAAACTGAGTTATTTAAATGTAAACAATGTCTGCGTTATATTTCTTGGATCATATTTGTCGGGGCACAGGTTTACCTTAATTTACCTACATTACCCTAAGAAAACCTTGAGTGTATGTTAACCAATAACCGTAATTGTGAGGTAGAACACAGTTTGGTGACCGCCCAGGTGTCAAGGACGTAGAGACAGAAAGGTTGTGTGCAGAAATCTTGTGAGAACAGAGACAGAATGCGGATAGAAGAAAAACGCGTGGATGGTCTACTAGGCCATGGTGGCCATAGTTTCAACTACTAGGCCATGGTGGCCATAGTTTCAACTACTAGGCCATAGCTGCAACTACGACCCGGCGTGTCTGATGTGGGGATTGAGAGCTAGGTGTGTTTGATGCAGAGGCGTTGCGCCCGGGGACAAACTTTCAATTTGGCCCCCCCCCCCCCCTCCTCTCAAACTGCAAAAAATGCAGCTAAATTGACATTTTAATTTGTTTTTACAACCCATTTTGGCGCCCCCTAAGGTCGGCCCCCGGGGACATTTGCCCCCTCCCCCCATCGCTACGCCTCTGGTTTGATGTGTGGGTTGCAAGCTATTTGATGTGTGGGTTTCAAGCTATTTGAGGTGTGGGTTGTAAGCTAGCTGCACCGATGAGTGCACCACGTCTGTCGTAATCTGCGAGAAGGGTTTGAACACAACCCAACGAGATCGCCAACCGTCTTTCAAATGTGTGTGTGTGTGTGCGTGTGTGGGTACACTCACATTCGTTATTTCTCCTTTCACTCCACCAGACGTTCATGAATCTAAGAGCAACACGCATGGAGACATCAACCCTCCACATACAAGCGTCCAGTGCCAACCACCACATGACCATGGACCAGCACCAACCAGCACTGGACCATCGCTTGTCTGTATGTCGTCTGCAACACTCCCAAGACCGCCATAGCCATCGGCACCTTCGCGGAGCCAGAGTTCAAGCTGGAGCGGAAGTTCCAGGATCTTTATGTAGGCGCCAGCGGTATCAGATCCAGCTTCGAGAACATCAACGCCAGCCTCAACTTTCTCATTTACTTCGTCTTCAATTCTAAATTTAGACAACAGAGCTTTCATCATCAACTGCCTCGACGACAGCAACATTTGTGTCCACTAGGACGTGGTGCCGCCGTACTTAAAAAAAAACTTGATGTGTTTGGTACAGGCAATAGCAGCGGCAAAACAAAATCTGCCACGGTTTGTTTTCTGGGTTCACTATTTTTGTTTGTTTCAGAACTACCTTGGTAGTTAGAAATTTAAGCTCTGAGACTATCTTGTGGGGACCACAGATCATCTTGTGGGGACCACAGATCATCTTGTGGGGAACCTAGATAATCTTGTAAAGAGCATATAGATAAACTTGCTGAGAACATATTGATAATCTCGTGGGGAACATTGATCATCTTGAGGGGAACCTAGATAATCTTGTATAAAAAAACATTTCCTTCCTAAATGTTTGAAACCCAACATCTGAATGAAAACAAGAACAAATAACAAAGTCTGACCTCAGATGGTTTAAGTTCATTTGGTCATAGAATGGCTAATTTTAGTAGAGCATTTCATATGTATGTATCATGCACTTCAAGTGGCGAATATAAATATCACACATGTATCAATATCACCCACATACTACACGCATCTAATGAAACACACATGTCCCACACACTTATACCGCATTTATAGCACACGTTCCACACACAACATCATCTTGTGATTTAGATGGGAGTGGGGTGGGTGGGTGGGGGGGGGGGGGGTGGCCATGCTGGACATCAGATGCGCTCTAGGGGGGTCAGCCCCAGGACCCTCAGGCAGTTGGCCAACACTAGTCTGGAACATTCAAACACCAGAAGCCGAGCCTGGAACAAAAAACTGGCTGGTCAGTTGGTGGTCAATCAGGGCTACACTTTATGTTAGACCAAATATTAAAGGCAGTCAGAATTAACATGAGCAATATTTTTTCCTCTCCCCCCCCCCCCCCCCCATCAGCAGTCAATCAGAATTTACCTGTGCAATATTTTTTGCCCCCCCCCCCCCCCAGCAGTCCACCAGAATTTACCTGTGCAATATTTTTGCTCTCCCCTTTAACTGGACATACCGAATATGCTGCATTGACCAGGTGACTAGAAAAACACAAGTGAAACATCTTTATAAGGTTAACTCATCAGTTAATCTAATATGATCTTGACATATCTAAACTTTAAAAACTATACGTCTACAATAAAGGGACTGCGTGGTCAGTGGTATAGTTTCAGTTTAGGTGTTTGGGTCTTACGCTGGACGTCCTTGAGCCTACTCAGTTCTGGTGGGTACCTAACTCACATTATGTAAAGTAGATTAGGTAAAAATTGTTTGGCTAGCATCTACACTTTTGTCATTAGTCATGCTGTATAAATCTATTGGTAAACTCTGAATTCTTGAATAAATAGACTCACGATGTGCCTTTTTGGGGAATGGTAAATATGAATGCATCAAAGAGGATACATGTTTTTTTGTATTTTGATATGCTCTTTTACAGAGTTATCCAATGGATTATATGGTTGTCTAGTAGAATATATATTACTGATATAAAAAAAAGTGAGTGTCATTACTATCAAGAGTGAAGTGTCTCAGTAACTCACCAAAGTTGAAACATGTACTGGACTATATGGTGGGGAACCAACCCTGACAGGGCCTCATCAAACACATCAGGATATCTGGGAACAAAAAAAAGTTTGAAGTATGTACTGGGGGGGGGGGGGGACCAACCCTGACAGGGCCTCATCAAACACATCAGGATATCTGGGAACAAAAAAAGTTTGAAGTATGTACGGGGGGGGGGGGGGAGGACGGGGACTGACCAACCCTGACAGGGCCTCATCAAACACATCAGGATATCTGGGAACAAAAAAAGTTTGAAGTATGTACTGGGGGGGGGGGGGGGGGTACCAACCCTGACAGGGCCTCATCACACACATCAGGGTACCTGGCACCATCCAAGAAACCCATTGATAAATATGTTTCTTCATGCCATCCACACTTCCCTGGTTGGTGTAGCTAGAGTAAAATATTGGCTGAACTTTTCCTGGATCTGTGTTCTTGGTTGACCAAGTTTAAATGACCTGGCTCAATAATTGACCAGGCTAAATTGACCTGGTTAAATAATTTACCTGGCTAAGTGGACGGCAGCAGCAACAAGGGTAGAGTCAAGCATCAAACAGTTGACGTCAACATCATCTGTCAGCTCAACACCACAGTTGGAGATCATGCTATCAAACAACAACATCATCTGTCAACACCACAGTTGGAGATCATGCTACCAAACAACTTCATTTTCAATCATTTATTTCACTGACAAGAAAAATGTTTACCAAGCCTACCAGACCATAAATATTTTTTACTAAACCTACCAAACCATAAATATTTTTTACTAAACCTACCAGGCCATAAATTTTTTTTACCAAACCTACCAGGCCGTAATATTTTTTACCAAACCTACCTGGCCACATATTTCTACCAAAATGTCTTTAGCCACAAACCTACCAGGCCATAAATAAATTTTACCAAACCTACCAGGCCATACATATTTTTTACCAAACCTACCAGACCATAAATATTTTTTACCAAACCTACCAGGCCATAAATATTTTTTACCAAACCTACCAGGCCATAAATATTTTTTATCAAACCTATGAGACAATAAATATTTTTTACCAAACCTACCAGGCCATAAATATTTTTTACCAAACCTACCAGGCCATAAATATTTTTTATCAAACCTACCAGGCCATAAATATTTTTTACCAAACCTACCAGGCCATAAATATTTTTTATCAAACCTACCAGGCCATAAATATTTTTTACCAAACCTACCAGGCCATAAATATTTTTTACTAAACCTACCAGGCCATAAATATTTTTTAACAAACCAAGCTGGCCACATATTTCTACCAAAATGTCTTTAGCCACAAACCTGCAGAGCCTGGCGTGGCAGTACTGAACAAAGACACCCGAGTCAGCCTTGAAGTTGAGCATACGATCCCATGAGAAGGTGTAGTCGTTGGTTCTGTGAGCCTTTAGGTCCTGGGGAGGGCAGACACATGGGGGTCATTACAGGTGGAGCTGCATGTCACCTGGCTGTCACAGGTGGAGCTACATGACACCTGGCTGTCACAGGTGGAGCTGCATGACACCTGGCTGTCACAGATGGAGCTGCATGACACCTGGCTGTCACAGGTGGAGCTACAGAGGACTTCTGACTATACTGATATACACAGCTGATGGATGTGACAACTCACCTGATGGATGTGACAACTCACCTGATGGATGTGACAACTCACCTGATGGATGTGACAACTCACCTGATGGATGTGACAACTCACCTGATGGATGTGACAACTCACCTGATGGATGTGACAACTCACCTGATGGATGTGACAACTCACCTGATGGATGTGACAACTCACCTGATGGATGTGACAACTCACCTGATGGATGTGACAACTCACCTGATGGATGTGACAACTCACCTGATGGATGTGACAACTCACGTGATGGATGTGACAACTCACCTGATGGATGTGACAACTCACCTGATGGGTGTGACAACTCACCTGATGGATGTGACAACTCACCTGATGGATGTGACAACTCACCTGATGGATGTGACAACTCACCTGATGGATGTGACAACTCACCTGTAGTATGATGGATGTGACACCAAGAACATCAGCTGTAGTCTCCAGATCTGACTCAACCTTTGTGGCTAAAATAGATTGGTTCAAACAAATTAGTTTCACAAGCTAAATGTGTTGTGTGGAGGCAGGCATACAGAGAGAGAAATAAGAAAAAATCAAACAAATTAGTTTCAGCTAAATGTGTTGTGTGGAGCCAGGCATACACAGAGAGAAATAAGAAAAAAATCAAACAAATTAGTTTCACAAGCTAAATGTGTTGTGTGGAGGAAGGCATACAGAGAGAGAAATAAGAAAAAAATCAAACAAATTAGTTTCACAAGCTAAATGTGTTGTGTGGAGGCAGGCATACAGAGAGAGAAATAAGAAAAAAATCAAACAAATTAGTTCCAGCTAAATGTGTTGTGTGGAGGCAGGCATACAGAGAGAGAAATAAGAAAAAAATCAAACAAATTAGTTTCACAATCTAAATTTGTTGTGTGGAGGCAGGCATACAGAGAGAGAAATAAGAAAAAAATCAAACAAATTAGTTTCACAAGCTAAATGTGTTGTGTGGAGGCAGGCATACAGAGAGAGAAATAAGAAAAAAATCAAACAAATTAGTTCCAGCTAAATGTGTTGTGTGGAGGCAGGCATACAGAGAGAGAAATAAGAAAAAAATCAAACAAATTAGTTTCACAATCTAAATTTGTTGTGTGGAGGCAGGCATACAGAGAGAGAAATAAGAAAAAAATCAAACAAATTAGTTTCACAAGCTAAATGTTGTGTGGATGCAGGCATACAGAGAGAGAAATAAGAAAAAAATCAAACAAATTAGTTACACAAGCTAAATGTGTTGTGTGGAGCCAGGCATACAGAGAGAGAAATAAGAAAAAAAAAACTTACTGGCTTTGGACTTCATGGATGCCAGCACACGTGCCCTGGCCTCATCAAGGACGTCCCTGAGGAACACCACGGTCCCAGCACGCGTGCTCATCCCCTTCACACGGCCAAAACACACGTGGATGTCGTCTATGGGCCTGGTGGAGACATGTACGTCATCAAGTTAGAGGATGTTGGTAGATAAACTCACATCTTTTTTACAAGCTTGGTATCTCTGGAAAGATTGCTTCGTCACTCTTTTAAACACACTTTGTGTAGGTTCAATTAACATTCAATTAACATTCAATTAACATACTATTCTTTCAGTCTTGCTAAAAACTAAAAAAAAATATCTATGCACATAAAAAAAGAAAGAAATTACTGATTAACATTTAAACAAAATAATGACCACTTGCCTAACCATAAATAAAAGTGTGGGTTGTTGATACAGTTTGAGTTTCAAATAAATATTAAAACAGTATTTGAGTACTGATGTAATATATTATCAGCAGACCAGTTCATTTGGTACATAGTATATGTATAATTGTTTGTTAGCCTTATATATAAAGATGGAACACCAAAATGTAAACATTTTTCTTCAAAATTATATAAATGGCAGTTTATTTTGTTTCATTTTCTTTTCTTCTAAACTTATGCCTATGTATAGGTTAGTTGATAAAAATCGTATGGGTCTTCTAAAATTATGCCAATATAGGTTAGTTGATAAAAATCATATTGGGTCTTCTAAAATTATGCCAATATAGGTTAGTTGATAAAAATCATATTGGGTCTTCTAAAATTATGCCAATATAGGTTAGTTGATAAAAATCATATTGGGTCTTCTAAAATTATGCCAATATAGGTTAGTTGATAAAAATCATATTGGGTCTTCTAAAATTATGCCAATATAGGTTAGTTGATAAAAATCATATTGGGTTTTCTAAAATTATGCCAATATAGGTTAGTTGATAAAAATCATATTGGGTCTTCTAAAATTATGCCAATATAGGTTAGTTGATAAAAATCATATTGGGTCTTCTAAAATTATGCCAATATAGGTTAGTTGATAAAAATCAAATTGGGCCTACTAAAATTATGCCAATATAGGTTAGTTGATAAAAATCATATTGGGTTTTCTAAAATTATGCCAATATAGGTTAGTTGATAAAAATCATATTGGGTCTTCTAAAATTATGCCAATATAGGTTAGTTGATAAAAATCATATTGGGTCTTCTAAAATTATGCCAATATAGGTTAGTTGATAAAAATCATATTGGGTTTTCTAAAATTATGCCAATATAGGTTAGTTGATAAAAATCATATTGGGTCTTCTAAAATTATGCCAATATAGGTTAGTTGATAAAAATCATATTGGGTCTTCTAAAATTATGCCAATATAGGTTAGTTGATAAAAATCATATTGGGTCTTCTAAAATTATGCCAATATAGGTTAGTTGATAAAAATCATATTGGGTCTTCTAAAATTATGCCAATATAGGTTAGTTGATAAAAATCAAATTGGGTCTTCTAAAATTATGCCAATATAGGTTAGTTGCTACAAATTGGGTCTTCTAAAATTATGCCAATATAGGTTAGTTGCTACAAATTGGGTCTTCTAAAATTATGCCAATATAGGTTAGTTGCTACAAATTGGGTCTTCTAAACTTATGCCAATATAGGTTAGTTGCTACAAATTGGGTCTTCTAAACTTATGCCAATATAGGTTAGTTGCTACAAATTGGGTCTTCTAAACTTATGCCAATATAGGTTAGTTGCTACAAATTGGGTCTTCTAAACTTATGCCAATATAGGTTAGTTGATAAAAATTGGGTCTTCTAAACTTATGCCAATATAGGTTAGTTGCTACAAATTGGGTCATGATTATCTGCAAGCACCTACCTCTGGGCCCAGGACACGCCCAACTTCTCCAGTATATGGACCAACTTTTTAAAGTGGCTCCTCTGGCCCTGTTCTACCTGGGGATAGGATGAAAAGGTGAGTGCAGACAGGTGAGTGCAGACAGGTGAGTGCAGACAGTTAGGTGGAGACAGGTGAGTGCAGACAGGTGAGTGCAGACAGTTAGGTGCAGACAGGTGAGTGCAGACAGGTGCAGACAGGTGAGTGCAGACAGGTGAGTGCAGACAGGTGCAGACAGGTGAGTGCAGACAGTTAGGTGCAGACAGGTGAGTGCAGACAGGTGCAGACAGGTGAGTGCAGACAGATGAGTGCAGACAGGTGCAGACAGGTGAGTGCAGACAGGTGAGTGCAGACAGGTGCAGACAGGTGAGTGCAGACAGTTAGGTGCAGACAGGTGAGTGCAGACAGGTGCAGACAGGTGAGTGCAGACAGGTGAGTGCAGACAGGTGCAGACAGGTGAGTGCAGACAGGTGAGTGCAGACAGGTGCAGACAGGTGAGTGCAGACAGTTAGGTGCAGACAGGTGGGTGCAGACAGGTGGGTGCAGACAGTTAGGTGCAGACAGGTGAGTGCAGACAGGTGAGTGCAGACAGGTGAGTGCAGACAGTTAGGTGCAGACAGGTGAGTGCAGACAGGTGAGTGCACACAGGTGAGTGCAGACAGGTGAGTGCAGACAGTTAGGTGCAGACAGGTGAGTGCAGACAGGTGAGTGCAGACAGGTGAGTGCAGACAGGTGCAGACAGGTGAGTGCAGACAGTTAGGTGCAGACAGGTGAGTGCAGACAGTTAGGTGCAGACAGCTGAGTGCTGACAGGTGAGTGCAGACAGGTGAGTGCAGACAGGTGAGTGCAGCCAGGTGAGTGCAGACAGGTGAGTGCAGACAGTTAGGTGCAGACAGGTGAGTGCAGACAGTTAGGTGCAGACAGGTGAGTGCAGACAGGTGAGTGCAGACAGGTGAGTGCAAACAAGTGAGTGCAGACAAGTCAAATCACTCACCACGTAATGTACCCGGTCAAATGAAAATATTTCTTGTCTCTCAAGGGCTGAGGCCACATCTCTGGAACAGAGAAGACAATCTGTCAAGGGGAGGTAATCTTTTATGGATAATCCAACTGTCAAGGGGAGGTAATCTTTCATGGATAATTCAATTGTCAAGGGGTGGTAATCTTTCATGGATAATTCAACTGTCAAGGGGAGGTAATCTTTCATGGATGATTCAATTGTCAAGGGGAGGTAATCTTTCATGGATACTTGTACTAATGTGAGGTGGTAATTTTTTATTTCACTAGAAGAGGGAGGTAGTCACTCATTTAACTGCACAATGCCCTAACTTTATGTCCAATGCCATAGTTTATTTGTCTAGACTACATCTTGTGATTGACTCAAAATGGGGTGGGGCTTACCTGGTTAAATAAAGAGAAGAACCATCACTCTTGACTAGACTAGCACGGCCTAGTCCTGAGTTGTCCATCTTGACGTGACCCACACCATCATCACTGAAAGCAACACAAATATAGGGGCATCATCACCAGGTCTATATTACCCCCACCATCATCATGAGGTCTACCATCCCTTCACCATCATCATAAGAGGTCTACCATCCCTCCACCATCATCACAAGGTCTACCATCCCTTCACCATCATCATAAGAGGTCTACCATCCCTCCACCATCATCACAAGGTCTACCATCCCTTCACCATCATCATAAGAGGTCTACCATCCCTCCACCATCATCACAAGGTCTACCATCCCTCCACCATCATTACAAGATGTCACTCACTCATACTGCATCAATCTACTCCCTGAATCAAATGTATCACTCACTCGTACTGCAGCAGATTGGCTTGTGCAAGGCGTGCCAAGACTTGTGAAGTTTGAGCGTGGTAATCTGACTCAGCCAGTGTGTGGGTGAAGTGGACACCTAGACGCTGGGACATATGGACATATACGTTTACTTTGTGGTCATATCAACACCTAATGGAAACATTTATTTCAAGCCATGACCCTAGGGGTTAAACCATGACCCACATGGGTCAGCCATGACACAGAGTCAAGGTATGACCCCTAGGGTCAAGTCATGACCCACAGGGTAAAACCATGACCCACATGGGTCAGCCATGACACAGAGTCAAGGTATGACCCCTAGGGTCAAGTCATGACCCACAGGGTAAAACCATGACCCACATGGGTCAGCCATGACACAGAGTCAAGGTATGACCCCTAGGGTCAAGTCATGACCCACAGAATTAAACCTTGACCCACATGGGTCAGCCATGACACAGAGTCAAGGTATGACCCCTAGGGTCAAGTCATGACCCACAGAATTAAACCTTGACCCACATGGGTCAGCCATGACACAGAGTCAAGGTATGACCATTAGGGTCAAGTCATGACTCACAGGGTTAAACCATGACCCACATGGGTCAGCCATGAGACAGAGTCAAGGTATGACCCCTAGGGTCAAGTCATGACCCACAGGGTTAAACCATGATAATATGTGATTGACATCTCCAAATGGCTACTCCAGATGACTGGAGTAAAAACTTGTTTACTTTTATTCATTTCAAATTGCTGAATACATTTTCAAGATTAATTAACATTTAATTTAGTTTTATAATAGCAGACATTCTAATTACTTTAGCATGGACTCTTGGAAAACTATTATCCATTGCATGATAAACTACTTCAAACATTAAAATTTATCATGGACTGTTGGAAAACTATTATCCATTGCATGATAAACTACTTCAAACATTAAAATTTGTTTTAATAATGGTGTAGGGTAAGTAACTGGTAAAATAAGATTAATGTAATAATTGTCTGCCCTTGTATCTTGTATGAAAGAAAAGCGTGAGTCATGCGATTCCCATACCTGGTACATCTTGTCCAGTTCAGCCAGACTCAGCCTTTTGACCATCGTCCAAACATCACGCATGCTTTCCTCTCCTGAAACAATTGGAACTGGTCAGTCAAGTGGCTAAAATAATCTCAGACAGTGGCAGTGGATGGAACACAACTCTCTACACCCAGCTGTCCCCTCACACACAGGAGGGAATTGTCAATGTGGAGACAACTCTGAGACACCTAATTATAAAACAACTGCGGCAGACTAATTCAGTTTTTTATGGTCAAGTTTTGTTTGAAAATTGTTGGATATGGTCCATCGATAAAAATATTTTGCTGGCTGTTTAACTGGTCAAATTTAGCTGGTCAAATTTAGGTGGTCAAGATTAACTGGTCAAGTTTAGCTGGACAAGTTTAGCTGGTCAAGTTTAGCTGGTCAAGTTTAGCTGGTCAAGTTTTACTGGTCAAGTTTAGCTCATCAAGTTTAACTAGTCAAGTTTAGCTGGTCAAGTTTAACTGGTTAAGTTTAACTGGTCAAGTTTAGCTAGTCAACTTTAGCTTGTCTAGTTTAGCTTGTCAAGTTTAGCAGGTCAAACTTAACTGGTCAAGTTTAACTGGTCAAGTTTGGCTGGTCAAGTATAGTTGGTCAAATTTAACTGGTCAAGTTTAGCTGGTCAAGTTTAACTGGTCAAGTTTAGCTGGTCAAGTTTAGCTGGTCAAGTTTAACTGGTCAAGTTTAATGAGCTTGAGACTGACCCTGCTCCAGCTGTGTAAACAATGCCATCCCCTCCTGGTAGGTTGGTGATGTGCTCTCTGGTGCTGTGCCACACTCAGACCTCACCGTCTGGTTGATCTTCACGTAAACCTGGGGGGGGGGGGGGGGGGGGGGAAAGGGGGGGACAACGACAAACATGGTTATTACCCTAGACATTCACATAACCCTAACCATCTAGACATTCACGTAACCCTAACCATCTAGACATTCACATAACCCTAACCATCTAGAGATTAACATAACCCTAACCATCTAGACATTCACATAACCTTAACCATCTAAACATTCACATAATTCTTACCATCTAGACATTCACATAACCCTAACCATCTAGACATTCACATAACCCTAACCATCTAGACATTCACATAACCCTAACCATGTAGAGATTAACATAACCCTAACCGTCCTGAAGGAGACTTACATTGAACAACTCCAGCAAGGGATCTTGTTTGAGCATGTTGATATTTCCATAGCGTGTCAAGCCCAAGGCTAACAAACCTGTGAAAGTATATTTAAATATTACATGGTAACAGGTACTGTATTCAAATACTAGATGGTAACAGGTATTATATTTAATACTAGATGGTAACAGCAGAGGCGTAGCGACCCTTCCCGGCGCCCGGGGACAAACATTCAACTTGTCAACTTGGCGCCCCCCTCGGGAGCAAGCAAATTTTCAATTTGCACCTCCCCCCTCTCTAAAACTTTCGATTTGCACCCCCCCCCCTCAAACTGCAAAAATGCAGCTAAAATGACATTTTAATTTGTTTTTACAACCCATTTTGGCGCCCCCAGTTGGGCTGGTTCAGTAGGTTTTAAATCACATTTTATGCTTTGACCAACACCAACATTTGATCCAAAGGCGTTTTCAGCTTTTTGGGTGAGGGGGTGCGGCGAATAAAAAAAAAGGTGCCATATATATATATATATATATATATATATATATATATATATATATATATATATATATATATATATATATATATATATATACTGACTGTATGTCATTGCTTCGCTATGGTGTAAAATACATTCAAAGGGTATGCCTACTCTAAACAAAACGGCTACAGGACATTACCCCCCTGGATATTTCCCCCCCGGACATTTCCCCCCCGTATTTACCCCCCGGTGCAATTACCCCCCTGTCAATTACCCCCCTGTCAATTACCCCCCCGGGGAATTACCCCCCTCCTCTCAAGTTAAAATCCTAACTCTAACTAGGATTTTATCCCTATACAGGGGCGTAGCGAGGGGGGGGGGGGCGGGGGCAGCGGACCGCACCGGGTGACACCATTAAGGGGGGTGACACCAAGGCAAAAAATAGCAAAATATATAGAGAAAAACTCGAGGGGGGTGCAAATCGTAAGTTTGAGGGGGGGGGGGTGCAAATCGAAAACTTGAGGGGGGGGGGGGTTCAAATCGAAAGTTTGAAAGTTTGTCCCTTGGAAGGGTCTCTATGTCTCTGGGGGGGGGGGTGACACTATTAAGTGCCGCCCCTGGTGACACCCGACCTCGCTACGCCACTGTCCCTATATACTACTTTAATCCAAACCTTAAGAAAAATACCAAAACCTAAGCATCCACCTTAGCCTAAACCTTCACACAAAACCAAAACCAAAGCTAGACACAACCCTAACCCTAAAACTAGCTTTAACCCTAACCGTAACCCTAGCTCTAACTCTAACCCTAACCCTAGCCCTAATCTTAACCCTAACCCTAGCCCTAGCCCTAACCCTAACCCTAACCCTAACCCTAACCCTAACCTTAACCCTAACCCTAACCCTAACTCTAACTCTAACCCTAACCCTAACATTAACCCTAACCCTAACCCTAACCCTAGCCCTAAAACGTAACCCTAACCCTAACCCTAACTCTAACCCTGTCCGGGGGGGGGGGGGTAATGTCCTACTGGGCGGGGGGTAATTGACAGGGGGGTAATTGACAGGGGGGTAATTACTCTGGGGGGTAATGTCGGGGGGGAAATATCCGGGGGGTAATTGACAGGGGGGAAATGTCCTGTTCCCAAACAAAACACAATGTAGGCTGAAAACATAAAACAATTCTTCACAAAAAACAAAACAAAAACCACAAAATATACCCACAATACAACCAAAAACAATAAATGCAACACAATTTGTTATGTTTTTGTAAAAAATTTTTTGAAATAATGGAATATTAATTAAGACAAGCGAACTACAGTAGGAGAAATAATCACTCTCTTCTATCAATATCAATATTTATACGTCTACACATTTAAATATAATTGTCAAATTCAACCAGATCAATAACTACTTTACCATGTCTTCTTCTTCTTCTTCGTTCTTAATTATTAGTGTTGAAGGGGATCGAGATTTATCTGCCAGAGGGTTTGAACTCGAGACTTTTTTCGAATTTATCAACCATGAGCTTTTTTGCCGACTCGACCACGCCTCCAACACAATTAAGCGTTACGTGTCAACTGGTTATGCGCCATTGAGGCCATTGACTCCGATTTCAGCCTGCTTTTCTTTTTGGATTTGCTTCCATAGCCTTTGTCCAACCAAGAACAAACTACAAGGCAGCAGTTGTTTGATTTTGGAGTTTTCTCTCCTAGAAGAGTGGCTGTCCCCAGATAACGAGCCTCATCTGCCCGAGGGTTCGAACTCGTGGCTTTTCGGTTTAGCAACCATGAGCTTTACCGACTCGACCACGCCGACCCCCTACTTTACCATGTGATACACTAAGTTTTTACTATTTGCTTTTACAAAAAATCTTGTGTACAATCAAAATTAAATATATTTTAGTTTGTGCTAAAACATCACAGCATAAAGAAAGTTTGTATAAGTGGAGTTGGTGTAAAAAATCAAGCTGTTAAAATAAATAATACAAAATCTGATCATCTCGACTAATAAAAACGTTCTTGAAGTTGTGTGTGAATGTGTTTATGTTTCTGTACATTTATTCAGCTTCCACCATCACCCCCATTTATTTGCATAGAGTTTATAACACCATCCATCTAAAAATATGTGAATCTGGAAAACATTCTAGATCAGTTAACAAGCAAGGGACCTACAGTTTCCCTTGCTGCTAGTAGTGACATATACTGCTGAGCACACAATAGGTAAACAATAACCCTAAGTTTCTAGACTGATCTTAAAACCCCAAGTTAATAGGCATTCAGTATAAAAGAGGGATGGTTGAATTAAGCCTGAAGACTCAAGCAAATGATACTGTGTGATACACTTGTGAAATAACATTGATCTGTAGGTGGTTGACTGCCTATATCCAGCAGGAATATCATAAACAGCAGATGTACAGGTACATTTTATACATAGCTTAGACCAACATTTTATACATAGCTTAGACCAACATTTTATACATAGCTTTGACCAACATTTTATACATAGCTTTGACCAACGTTTTATACATAGCTTTGACCAACATTTTATACATAGCTTTGACCAACATTTTATACATAGCTTTGAACAACGTTTTAAAAAGATTACCAAACTGTGTCCCCCAGTCTCCAATCCAATTTATTCTTTTGACATCTTGCCCTGAGGCCTCGTAAAGATTGGAGAGGACGTTCCCTAGGATAGTTGAGCGCATGTGTCCAACATGAAATGGTTTGGCTATATTTGGTGAGCTGACAGGACAAGATACAATAAAATTATTGGGATAGTGGACAGGACAAGATACAATAAAATTATTGGGATAGTGGACAGGACAAGATACAATAAAATTATTGGGATAGTGGACAGGACAAGATACAATAAAATTATTGGGATAGTGGACAGGACAAGATACAATAAAATTATTGGGATAGTGGACAGGACAAGATACAATAAAATTATTGGGATAGTGGACAGGACAAGATACAATAAAATTATTGGGATAGTGGACAGGACAAGATACAATAAAATTATTGGGATAGTGGACAGGACAAGATACAATAAAATTATTGGGATAGTGGACAGGACAAGATACAATAAAATTATTGGGATAGTGGACAGGACAAGATACAATAAAATTATTGGGATAGTGGACAGGACAAGATACAATAAAATTATTGGGATAGTGGACAGGACAAGATACAATAAAATTATTGGGATAGTGGACAGGACAAGATACAATAAAATTATTGGGATAGTGGACAGGACAAGATACAATAAAATTATTGGGATAGTGGACAGGACAAGATACAATATAATTATTGGGATAGTGGACAGAATAAAATTATTGTGATAGTGGACAGGACAAGATACAATAAAATTATTGGGATAGTGGACAGGACAAGATACAATAAAATTATTGGGATAGTGGACCAACAAGAGACATATTATGGCTGGATATTTAACTACTGGACATACCAAAGGGGTGAACTCCACTTCATCTGCACCAAAGGACAAATCTAGGTCTTGCTGGTGCCACTTAGACTGACCAAACTCTACACAGATGTGTTGTGACTGACCTGAACTCTACACAGATGTGTTGTGACTGACCTGAACTCTACACAGATGTGTTGGGACTGACCTGAACTCTACACAGATGTGTTGTGACTGACCTGAACTCTACACAGATGTGTTGTGACTGACCTGAACTCTACACAGATGTGTTGTGACTGACCTGAACTCTACACAGATGTGTTGTGACTGACCTGAACTCTACACAGATGTGTTGTGACTGACCTGAACTCTACACAGATGTGTTGTGACTGACCTGAACTCTACACAGATGTGTTGTGACTGACCTAAACTCTACACACATGTGTTGTGACTGACCTGAACTCTACACAGATGTGTTGTGACTGACCTGAACTCTACACAGATGTGTTGTGACTGACCTGAACTCTACACAGATGTGTTGTGACTGACCTGAACTCTACACAGATGTGTTGTGACTGACCTGAACTCTACACAGATGTGTTGTGACTGACCTGAACTCTACACAGATGTGTTGTGACTGACCTGAACTCTACACAGATGTGTTGTGACTGACCTGAACTCTACACAGATGTGTTGTGACTGACCTGAACTCTACACAGATGTGTTGTGACTGACCTGAACTCTACACAGATGTGTTGTTTTTTCCCTCCAGACTGGAGCGTGTGACCGTACTGACTGGGATGTGTTCGAATCTCTGTCAGCAGTCTCTGGGGAGAAAATATTTCAGCCATCAGAAAAATTATCTCCATCAAAATAAGCAGCTTCTAGCCCTGTGGCCTGGCCCTATAGAAAGTTTCTAGCCTGTGGCCTGGCCCTATAAGAAGCTTCTAGCCCTGTGGCCTGGCCCTATAAGAAGCTTCTAGCCCTGTGGCCTGGCCCTATAGAAAGCTTCTAGCCTGTGGCCTGGCCCTATAGAAAGCTTCTAGCCTGTGGCCTGACCCTATAGAAAGCTTCTAGCCTGTGGCCTGGCCCTATAGAAAGCTTCTAGCCTGTGGCCTGGCCCTATGAGAAGCTTCTAGCCTGTGGCCTGACCCTATAGAAAGCTTCTAGCCTGTGGCCTGGCCCTATAGAAAGCTTCTAGCCTGTGGCCTGGCCCTATAAGAAGCTTCTAGCCTGTGGCCTGGCCCTATAAGAAGCTTCTAGCCTGTGGCCTGGCCCTATAGAAAGTTTCTAGCCTGTGGCCTGGCCCTATAGAAAGCTTCTAGCCTGTGGCCTGGCCCTATAGAAAGTTTCTAGCCTGTGGCCTGGCCCTATAGAAAGTTTCTAGCCTGTGGCCTGGCCCTATGAGAAGCTTCTAGCCTGTGGCCTGGCCCTATAGAAAGCTTCTAGCCTGTGGCCTGGCCCTATAGAAAGTTTCTAGCCTGTGGCCTGGCCCTATAAGAAGCTTCTAGCCTGTGGCCTGGCCCTATAGAAAGTTTCTAGCCTGTGGCCTGGCCCTATAAGAAGCTTCTAGCCCTGTGGCCTGGCCCTATAAGAAGCTTCTAGCCTGTGGCCTGGCCCTATAGAAAGTTTCTAGCCTGTGGCCTGGCCCTATAAGAAGCTTCTAGCCTGTGGCCTGGCCCTATAGAAAGTTTCTAGCCTGTGGCCTGGCCCTATAGAAAGTTTCTAGCCTGTGGCCTGGCCCTATAAGAAGCTTCTAGCCCTGTGGCCTGGCCCTATAAGAAGCTTCTAGCCTGTGGCCTGGCCCTATAAGAAGCTTCTAGCCCTGTGACCTGGCCCTATGAGAAGCTTCTTATATGTTGCGCTACACATCGGATCACCCATAAGGCATGTCCGTGTGTTCACAACAATCACCAACACAACATCAGAACATCACCTACACAACATCAGAACATCACCAACACAACATTAGTACATCACTAACACAACATCACCAACACAACATCAGTACATCACCAACACAACATCAGAACATCACCAACACAACATCAGTACATCACCAACACAACATCAGTACATCACCAACACAACATCAGTACATCACCAACACAACATCACCAACACAACATCAGTACATCACCAACACAACATCAGTACATCCCCAACACAACATCAGTACATCACTAACACAACATCAGTACATCACCAACACAACATCAGTACATCACCAACACAACATTAGTACATCACCAACACAACATCAGTACATCACCAACACAACATCAGTACATCACCAACACAACATCATCAACACAACATCAGAACATCACCAACACAACATCAGTACATCACTAACACAACATCAGTACATCACTAACACAACATCAGTACATCACTAACACAACATCACCAACACAACATCAGTACATCACCAACACAACATCAGTACATCACCAACACAACATCAGAACATCACCAACACAACATCAGTACATCACCAACACAACATCAGTACATCACCAACACAACATCAGTACATCACCAACACAACATCACCAACACAACATCAGTACATCACCAACACAACATCAGTACATCACCAACACAACATCAGTACATCACCAACACAACATCAGTACATCACTAACACAACATCAGTACATCACCAACACAACATCAGTACATCACCAACACAACATTAGTACATCACCAACACAACATCAGTACATCACTAACACAACATCAGTACATCACTAACACAACATCACCAACACAACATCAGTACATCACCAACACAACATCAGTACATCACTAACACAACATCAGTACATCACTAACACAACATCAGTACATCACTAACACAACATCACCAACACAACATCAGTACATCACTAACACAACATCAGTACATCACTAACACAACATCAACAACACAACATCAGAACATCACCAACACAACGTCAGTACATCACCAACACAAAATCAGTACATCACCAACACAACATCAGTACATCACCAACACAACATCAGTACATCACCAACACAACATCAGTACATCACTAACACAACATCAGTACATCACCAACACAACATCAGTACATCACCAACACAACATCAGAACATCACCAACACAACATCAGTACATCACCAACACAACATCACCAACACAACATCAGTACATCACCAACACAACATCAGTACATCACCAACACAACATCAGTACATCACCAACACAACATCAGTACATCACCAACACAACATCATCAACACAACATCAGAACATCACCAACACAACATTAGTACATCACCAACACAACATCAGTACATCACTAACACAACATCAGTACATCACCAACACAACATCACCAACACAACATCAGTACATCACCAACACAACATCAGTACATCACCAACACAACATCAGTACATCACCAACACAACATCAGTACATCACTAACACAACATCAGAACATCACCAACACAACATCAGTACATCACCAACACAACATCACCAACACATCATTAGTACATCACCAACACAACATCAGTACATCACTAACACAACATCAGTACATCACTAACACAACATCAGTACATCACCAACACAACATCAGTACATCACTAACACAACATCAGTACATCACTAACACAACATCAGTACATCACTAACACAACATCACCAACACAACATCAGAACATCACCAACACAACATCAGTACATCACCAACACAACATCAGTACATCACTAACACAACATCAACAACACAACATCAGAACATCACCAACACAACGTCAGTACATCACCAACACAAAATCAGTACATCACCAACACAACATCAGTACATCACCAACACAACATCAGTACATCACCAACACAACATCAGTACATCACCAACACAACATCAGTACATCACTAACACAACATCAGTACATCACCAACACAACATCAGTACATCACCAACACAACATCAGAACATCACCAACACAACATCAGTACATCACCAACACAACATCACCAACACAACATCAGTACATCACCAACACAACATCAGTACATCACCAACACAACATCAGTACATCACCAACACAACATCAGTACATCACCAACACAACATCATCAACACAACATCAGAACATCACCAACACAACATTAGTACATCACCAACACAACATCAGTACATCACTAACACAACATCAGTACATCACCAACACAACATCACCAACACACCATCAGTACATCACCAACACAACATCAGTACATCACCAACACAACATCAGTACATCACCAACACAACATCAGTACATCACCAACACAACATCAGTACATCATCATCACCAACACAACATTAGTACATCACCAACACAACAACAATACCTGTACGTCAAGTCGCTACAATACCTGTAAGTCATGTCACTACAATACCTGTAAGTCATGTCACTACAATACCTGTAAGTCATGTCACTACAATACCTGTAAGTCATGTCACTACAATACCTGTAAGTCAAGTCGCTACAATACCTGTAAGTCATGTCACTACAATACCTGTAAGTCATGTCACTACAATACCTGTATCAACTGATTTGTTTCCACGTGGAACTGAAGGCTGCCATTCTGGACGTGAATTCCTTCTGCCTGAGCCTGCAACTCATTGAACAGAAAGTTACGCATGAAAACAAAACATTTCAACTAGACACAAAAAGTTATTGTTTTGTTTCAGTATAATAAAGATGCATGTAGAAATTTTAAAGAGATAAATTTATTTGCAAATGACACCAAATGTGTTAAAATGTTACAATGCATTACCTTGCTCAAGTCCAGGTCTAAAGATGTGCCCTGGAGGACACTTGATAGACTCTGAATGCCAACAGAAAACTGTACACCACTGAAAAAAAATCAATAAACATCCTCAAATGTCATCTTCATAGACACATCTCAAATGTCATCATAAAAGACACATCTCCTCAAATGTCATCATAAAAGACACATCTCCTCAAATGTCATCTTCAAAGACACATCTCCTTAAATGTCATCTTCAAAGACACATCTCCTTAAATGTCATCTTCAAAGACACATCTCCTTAAATGTCATCATAAAAGACACATCTCCTTAAATGTCATCATAAAAGACACATCTCTTCATAGTTTTCCTTTTTTTGGATGTTAGATTTTTTTTAAAAGTTTAATGACACAACATCATTACATGGCATTATAGACACAAGATTATAGACACAATTGTGTAGACACATTATAGACACAATAACATAGACACAATAATATAGACACATTATTGACACAATAACATAGACACAACATAATAGATACAACATTATTGATACACAACATTATAGATACAGCACTATAGATACAATAACATAGACATGACATACATAAGACACCATGTACATGACATCATAACCAAGACATCATAGACAATCAATTTAGAAAACTCACACCCTCACATATGATCTTAAGATCATACTCATACAAACGAGTCAAGTAAATTTGAATAAGAAAAGTCCTGCCTGGATAGGTTTTTCTGACCAAGTTGAACTTTGACCAATTTTTCCACTACATTCTCCAATGGCTGGGTATCTGGTAATTTCCTCTCTAGTTTACCCTGGACACAGTTTAGTATCTGGGAAGAGAGGACAACTCCTTTTAGTTTTTATGGGACACAACTCAATATAAGAAACAATAACTTCAGTGTGTTATCTTCTTTGTTTTTTATAAGTATTTAATATTTGATAAGATTTTTCTTAATGTAAGCAAAATAAAACTGATTACAGAGATGGATATCTTGCTCGCCCAGACCTTGCAGCATTTCCAAGAAAATCCTATCTAATCTAGCTACTAAATAAAAAGTATTGCCCTTCAAGCAAGATACAAAAAGTAGATAACTGTTACATATGGTCAAGAAAATGTTCTTAGGCCTTTATTATAGGGTTTTACTTTTAATGAAGGCCTAAATGATAAAATGCGCATGAAGCTGATAAATAAAACAATCAGATTTCAAAACAAAATTATTTTTTTTTAAATCACTGGCTTGTCTGGACAGGTAAAGTTGAGAAATATTAAGAGTAAGTTTTTAACTAATGACATTTTTAGCTACTTGTCCATGGTGAATTCATTTTACAAGTGTGCCTACATTTGTGGTGTGTTTGTAAATAGTGAGTACAGTTCTCTCTCTCTCTCCCCCTCCCCAACATAGACTTGCAGTACTAAGGCTACAACAGATGTGGTAACCAACCAGTGGTCAGCCCTGACCAACCAGTGGTCAGTAGCAATCTTCCAAACTTCAAGTTCCACTTCATTACAATGGTATTTAGATCTAGTATGTATGTCCTATGCCATGTATGCATACAAAGAATTAGTAAGAAGTAGTACAGCAGCGTTGTCTGAATCTTATGATACAGTATGTAGATAGGCAATTGGGTTATAGTCATTTAGTTAAATATTATAGCCTAATAAAATAATTATTTAAAAATTAGGCCTAATTTATTAGACCTTATAAATCTTGATCTACTTTTTATTTTTACAGGCCTCCTATTAATTTATTATATTAGGCCATTTTTTTTTTATTTCTTTTTACTACTAGATCTAGTAATACTAGCATTAGGCCTTGCTAAATAATTAGTATTGTAGTAAATATTAAAATTCTCTAGATTTAACCATTTTAACTAGATTCACTGCTTTAATAATCTATCGATTTAGGTGTGTAAAATCAGCCAAGGCTAATAATGTGAGAAAAAGTTGCCTCATTGTTAAGGCTTTAATAGAAGTATATTGTAATATATTTGTGTCAAATATAATAGATAACTGAATAATAAACCAAAATCAATGGTTTAATATATCAATATGGGCCAGAAATTAACTTTAAACAGCAGTGTTTGAGAGCAATATTTGCTATATAGGCCTATTATAAACAGCAGCCATCTGTAAATTAGAGTGGTTTTCCTTCAATCGCAAACTAAAATTTTACCAAAAAAACTTAAACAAGATGGCGAGTGTTGGGAAATTGCGAGAAGAGCACGAAAACCGTCAGTCATGTGATATTTTTGCAAAAATATTACGGTGACTGATTTACAGCGATATTTGATGCAGACTTCAAAGACGTTTCGCTTACATTGTTAAAACTTCTAATTTTTCAGTTACTAGACATTCGGAAGATTTTTCAACTTCACCATCTTTTGTGTCGACTTAGAATACCACCTTGTTCGAAACCACCCAAAATACCGCAGATGATAGATCAACTTATTTCTTTTGTGTGGAACACCTAGGCCGCCTGCCACCACAAACATATATTGCATTGTTGCAAAGGAATTTTGTTTTATTATGTAGCAGTACGGTGAGAACGAGCCCCCGGTGTAGCCTCAACCAACCGGCGGTTTGTTGTACTCTGATAAATATAAACTCAAATCATTAATAATATATATAGTTCAGGCCATATACCACACACGCATAGTGTTGTGAGTTGAGCCTTAATACATTTAAACTAATTAACTAAATAAATAAACTATCTCCGTTTATTTTCTTTAGCGATAATTAAATTAACTAATTAATTTAGTAATGAGATTACAAATTTCCTGTATAATTTAGTTTTACTATTAAAGAAACAGCTCCGTTGTTTCAATACCACCCGCTCTCTTTCTTGAATCAAACGGTACACTTTTGACCCTGAATACGTTAGTAATTTTTTTTTTTTTAATGTGGTGTAGATGAAGAAAGAGAGCTATATACTCATTGAAACCGAGCGAAAAATAATTCACCGAGGTATTGACCTTAAATGACGTTGTGGCATGCGGATATACTTTTTCCCCTAAAAAAAACAAGGCAGTATGATATTAAGGTCGCGCTTAAGTCACGGTGTAGACTTGCTTGATGAGTAAAAGTGGGATGGTCAGATGGTTTAAAATAAAATCAAAACTAGATTTAAAAAAAAGAACAACACATAACATGCTTTAGTTTATAACTATTAAAAAAAAAAACATGCAACAAAATTTGTTTTTGCAAATTGTGTCTCACTATTTATTCGTTATTCCACAGGTATGTCTCGCATTTTCTTCTCGCAGTTTACCGCATAGCCATTTCGCTTTTCGCGTCTTGCAATTTCCCAACACCCCAAGATAGCTACTAAAGTAAATGAGCATGGACGCATTTGATGAAACCATCGCTATTCGCTAGTCTTTATTTCAATATTTACTACTGAAAAGTTTTAATACTTACAATTGTTTAAAAGATTCTACATGAATGAAACTTTTAAACATTTTTGTACTTTCAAAAGATAAAATCTTCCTAAAAATGTTAAATAATTACTAAAATTTAATGAGTCACCTTTTTTTTCACATTTTTTAGTCTCGGCGGATTTTACCTACCTAAACTAAAATTCTAAAATGATAGATTTAGAATTTATTTAGATTAGGCCTACCACTGATTTTATTTATAGTTACTAGTTAGGCCTATTAAACTATTAGTAGTAATAATATAAATAATCCTTATTAATTTATTTAAATTTATTTTGTAGGCTTTGACTAAATTTAAATTTGACTTCATCTGACGACCTAAATGATAATCTAATATTCTAGATCTAGCTACTAGCTAGATCTAGATTTCTAGATCTAGATCCTAGATCTAGATTTTTCTAGATCTAGATCTAGAGTTAGAGATAAACTCTAGCTTAGTCTAGAGTCTAGGACTCTAGATGATAGATCTAGAAACTTAGAAAGCCTAAGAAAGGTAACTGAACCCATACTTTTTTGGAAATATAACGTTTGTAATAACCAGACATTTCTCTTTCGACACTCAGAAGTCTCAACACTCTCAGGTCACAGCACACAACATTGGGAAAGTAAAGAACTAGACTATTTTCTTGTTTCGCTTTTAAGTGTCTGCTGCAAGCCTCAAGTCTGTAATACGGGAATATCCAATTTTATTGGCGGAAGATTTTCTGTTTGTAATACCTATTTTTAATTCTTTGTTGCAGGGAATCATGGGACTGTTATTTACAAATGGCTGATAAAACAAATCCTATGAGGAAGAAATAGTTTTCTTTATCAGTCAGGATTATTGTGGTTTTGAAATAAAAACGTTTTCAGTACTGTCAGTTGAATAACAGAATATCGTATCATTTATTTAATGGAATAACTTTAATTTATCAAGTGGGATTTTTGGAGGACTTGTTTATTTCTTACCCTCAGCCCTCGATGGCCCCAACAGTCAGTCAGATTTGTTTGTAATTTACTTCTTGTTTTGTTTACTTTGTTGTGTATATTCTAGTTGTTTTTTTTGTGCTGGTTTAAAAAACAACGACCCTAGATCTACTTGACATTTTTTCAAATAGCCAGAGATGGCGAGAGGAGAATGTTGCTTGATTCAGATACAAAGTGAAGAGGATATGATATACTCCAAGGACTCATTACAACAAGAATGTACTTCTCACAGACTTTGCTATGCTCACCCTAAAAGTTTTTTAAAGAACATTCTCAGTGGCAGTAGTATTTTAAATCTTCCGTGTGTTTGCAAGCTCCAGTCACAATAAGTGGCATATTTTCATGTACTTATAAAAAAGGACATTATATTTTTGTATGTGTGTTCATCGCACAATTTACTCATACTGAACTGTTCAAAACACTAGCTTAGCCTGCACTTTGGTTTAGTAGATTATTTTAGGCCTAGATGTAGATCTACATAATTTTTCTTAGATTAAAATCATTTGAGAAAATTTTTATTCATATTGGACAAGTTTACATTTGTTAAAAAAAGAAATCATGAAACTACTCGAAAATTCCAACTTTGAGGCTGTCAACTCTGCTCTATCCATGGATCTCGAGAACAGTAATACCCATCTGGATTTTCGGTAAATTTTCTTCCCTTGTGTTAAATTAATTGTAGGTACTTAATGATTGATTAACTAATGCACATTATACTAAAGTCTTAATCAGTAAGCTAATCAATTTTGATGTTTATATTTATTTATCTTTAGCATTGAAAGTTATTCTTGCAAGATGGCAGGCAATGATAAGCGTCTATTTAAAACTTTGAATGAAGAGAATCGTGAAGCTCCTGGGGGTCTGCAAGCCCTGTCTCCTCCACAAGCTTATGGCTACACATACAGCTCTTCAAACCCTAATGAGTAAACACAAGTTTTCTGGCCATAATATTCTATTATTTAATAAAATTATACTTCACTAATTTTCAACAATGTTATGATGCTACTGTAAAGAGTTGTTTTAAAATGTACTAGTAATAGTTGATGTACCTTGTAGTGGTAATCTGATGATTGGAAGCCATGAAGAAGGTGGGACACTTTGTGACACAATATCAACCAAGACACTTTTCTACCTCATCTCCACCCTCAATGCTTCATTTAATCCTGACTACGACTTCAGTGCTGCTAAAAGCTCTGAGTTCAGCAGGGAGACCAGCCTAGACGTAAGTACCAGACTGTCTCTACGTAAGTACCAGACTGTCTCTACCTAAGTACCAGACTGTCTCTACGTAAGTACCAGACTGTCTCTACGTAAGTACCAGACTGTCTCTACGTAAGTACCAGACTGTCTCTACGTAAGTACCAGACTGTCTCTACGTAAGTACCAGACTGTCTCTACGTAAGTACCAGACTGTCTCTACGTAAGTACCAGACTGTCTCTACGTAAGTACCAGACTGTCTCTACGTAAGTACCAGACTGTCTCTACGTAAGTACCAGACTGTCTCTACGTAAGTACCAGACTGTCTCTACATAAGTACCAGACTGTCTCTACTTTACTTAAAGCTCATGTTTAAAGTTGTGCTGGCAATAAATCCTTTTTGTTGATGTTAGCTTATGTTTGCGCTGACAATAAATCATGTTGCTGTTATGTTTGCGCTGACGATAAATCATGTTGCTGTTATGTTTGCGCTGACAATAAATCATGTTGCTGTTATGTTTGCGCTGACAATAAATCATGTTGCTGTTATGTTTGTGCTGACAATAAATCATGTTGCTGTTTCAGTGGGTTGAACAAAACATCAACTCGTCGCTGTTTGCTGCTGCTGGTGACAGGTTCGGTGCCTTCAAGCAACAGCTGTGGTCAGCTGTGGACGAAGAAATTTGCCTGAAAGAGTGCTACATCTACAGGTACATTTTATATACACTGACTTGCCATCTTGCATAAAATGAGCAACAACACTTTGAGAAACAGTTTCTGATAATTTAATTAACATGAATTTTGTTGCTGCAGACCTGTTGTGCATGCCAATTAAATACATTGACTTTTTAAGGATAAGCTTGATCACAAGAAAAACTGTTAAAAAACCATAAAAAGTGAGCTATCTACAGACACACATCTCCGTAATACTTAAGAATCATAACTCTGTTTTTATTTGACAACAAAGAAGATAGAAATGTTGAAAACAAATTTGTCTTGTTTCAGTTACAACCCAGACTTATCATCAGACCCATTCAGTGAAGATGGTTGTATTTGGTCATTCAACTATTTCTTCTATAATGTTAGACTGAAGAGAATTGTCTTCTTTTCTTGCAGAGCTAGTAGGTAAGTTCAGTAACTGATGAGTTTGTCGTTGGCAAGTTAGGCTACTCCCATATACTATATTTGACTGTGAAATGTGTACCCTTTATTTTTGTAGGAATGAAGCTCAAGACTATGATGATGGTATAGAGACCAATATGGATACCACAGAGGAACTCATGTTCACTACGTAAGTCTTCATAGTTGTGAGCTAATTGTTGGCTCCACATCTAGCATACATTTAACATTTGTTATGACATTGTATTTACAAACACTAGTACAAAACTGTATGTCTTATTTTATTTGTATATTGCTAGGGATGGCAGTCCATGAGAGCTACATTGTTGGATTACAGCTATCGATGTCGATACAGCTTTTTCATCAAGATATTTGATTTTCTACCGCAACACACAAGAATTTTTGTATCTTAAGATTTTGATTTCAGATGACTTTTATTATGTGGATAACTTTTGATTGCTTTTTCTGTGTAAATGACTTGTTTAATTTCATGACTTCACTCTCTTTATGTTCAACTTTGAGTAGTGTCCCTTAGCTCCTGCCCATTGTCAGGTCAGGGCAGTCTTATGCCCAAGGGCAGGGCAGTCTTATGCCCACTGTCAGTATCTGAGAGTCATGTACCCATGGGCATGACAGTCTTATGCCCAATGGCAGGGCAGCGTTGTATCTAGCTGTCCAAGCAGTTCATTAAAAGCCTAATATTGACAACTTTTAATTATTAGAGTTAGCATGAGGTGTTGCCTTTTGATTAATAATCCAGGTGTTGATGTAGTATTATGAGTCTTTGTTTCACCATGTTGCTCTAGCAAGAGTTGTCTCACCTGGTATGTTGCATGCTCTAGCAAGAGTTGTCTCATCTTGTGGTGTTGCATGCTCTAGCAAGAGTTGTCTCACCTGTGGTTTTGCATGCTCTAGCAAGAGTTGTCTCACCTGTGGTTTTGCATGCTCTAGCAAGAGTTGTCTCACCTGGTATGTTACATGCTCTAGCAAGAGTTGTCTCATCCTGTGGTTTTGCATGCTCTAGCAAGAGTTGTCTCACCTGGTATGTTGCATGCTCTAGCAAGAGTTGTCTCATCCTGTGGTGTTGCATGCTCTAGCAAGAGTTGTCTCACCTGTGGTTTTGCATGCTCTAGCAAGAGTTGTCTCACCTGTGGTTTTGCATGCTCTAGCAAGAGTTGTCTGACCTGGTATGTTACATGCTCTAGCAAGAGTTGTCTGACCTGTGGTTTTGCATGCTCTAGCAAGAGTTGTCTGACCTGGTATGTTACATGCTCTAGCAAGAGTTGTCTGACCTGTGGTTTTGCATGCTCTAGCAAGAGTTGTCTGACCTGGTATGTTACATGCTCTAGCAAGAGTTGTCTCACCTGGTATGTTACATGCTCTAGCAAGAGTTGTCTGACCTGGTATGTTACATGCTCTAGCAAGAGTTGTCTCACCTGGTATGTTACATGCTCTAGCAAGAGTTGTCTGACCTGTGGTGTGGTCGCAGGGGTGTACACAGATAATGGCATGTATTTTCTTCCCATTTTCAGCCCAAACTTTGTCACTGTGGATCTGACTAATGTATTGAGTCATATGCACATTTTATGCCAGTGTCTGCTTTTGGTTCAGAAAAAAATGTTGATGGCCTATGAGCCCCCACCTGTTTGTGAGGGGCAGGTAGGCAGTTTGTTTTTGTTAATGCACACATAAGAATGTGACTTAGCCCTAGCAAGGCAGCTTGGCCAGAAGGCCTTATATATATACTGCATGGATTGATTTCATTGGTTGAATTTGTGCTGTAAAATCTTTAGAATTTTATTGTATTGAACACATTTATTCACTTCCTTCATCTATTTATACTCAAATGTTTTTAAGAAATCTGATGATTGGTTTCATGAGGTCCCATTACAAATATTAGCTGTGGCCAGAGGGGTCACCACAAATATTAGCTGTGGACTAGAGGGGTCACCACAAATATTAGCTGTGGCCAGAGGGGTCACCACAAATATTAGCTGTGGACTGGGGAGGGTCACCACAAATATTAGCTGTGGACTGGGGGGGTCACCACAAATATTAGCTGTGGGCTAGAGGGGTCACCACAAATATTAGCTGTGGACTGGGGGGGGGGGGTCACCACAAATATTAGCTGTGGGCTAGAGGGGTCACCACAAATATTAGCTGTGGACTGGGGGGGTCACCACAAATATTAGCTGTGGGCTAGAGGGGTCACCACAAATATTAGCTGTGGACTGGGGGGGTCACCACAAATATTAGCTGTGGGCTAGAGGGGTCACCACAAATATTAGCTGTGGACTGGGGGGGTCACCTCAAATATTGGCTGTGGACTGGGGGGGTCACCACAAATATTAGCTGTGGACTGGGGAGGGTCACCACAAATATTAGCTGTGGACTGGGGGGGTCACCACAAATATTAGCTGTGGGCTAGAGGGGTCACCACAAATATTAGCTGTAGACTGGGGGGTCACCTCAAATATTGGCTGGGGGGGGGGTCACCTCAAATATTAGCTGTGGACTGGGGAGGGTCACCACAAATATTAGCTGTGGACTGGGGGGGTCACCACAAATATTAGCTGTGGGCTAGAGGGGTCACCACAAATATTAGCTGTGGACTGGGGGGGTCACCACAAATATTAGCTGTGGGCTAGAGGGGTCACCACAAATATTAGCTGTGGACTGGGGGGGTCACCTCAAATATTGGCTGTGGACTGGGGGGGTCACCACAAATATTAGCTGTGGACTGGGGAGGGTCACCACAAATATTAGCTGTGGACTGGGGGGGTCACCACAAATATTAGCTGTGGGCTAGAGGGGTCACCACAAATATTAGCTGTAGACTGGGGGTCACCTCAAATATTGGCTGGGGGGGGGTCACCTCAAATATTAGCTGTGTACTGGGGGGGTCACCACAAATATTAGCTGTGGACTGGGGGGTCACCACAAATATTAGCTGTGGACTGGGGGGTCACCTCAAATATTGGCTGGGGGGGGGTCACCACAAATATTAGCTGTGGACTGGGGAGGGTCACCACAAATATTAGCTGTGGACTGGGGGGGTCACCACAAATATTAGCTGTGGGCTAGAGGGGTCACCACAAATATTAGCTGTGGACTGGGGGGGTCACCACAAATATTAGCTGTGGGCTAGAGGGGTCACCACAAATATTAGCTGTGGACTGGGGGGGTCACCTCAAATATTGGCTGTGGACTGGGGGGGTCACCACAAATATTAGCTGTGGACTGGGGAGGGTCACCACAAATATTAGCTGTGGACTGGGGGGGTCACCACAAATATTAGCTGTGGGCTAGAGGGGTCACCACAAATATTAGCTGTAGACTGGGGGGTCACCTCAAATATTAGCTGTGTACTGGGGGGGTCACCTCAAATATTAGCTGTGTACTGGGGGGGTCACCACAAATATTAGCTGTGGACTGGGGGGTCACCACAAATATTAGCTGTGGACTGGGGGGGGGGTCACCTCAAATATTAGCTGTGGACTGGGGGGGTCACCACAAATATTAGCTGTGGACTGGGGGGGTCACCATAAATTTTAGCTGTGGACTGGGGGGGGGGTCACCTCAAATATTAGCTGTGGGCTAGAGGGGTCACCTGTAGGTCCTGTTTGTGTAGCTATCACAGTAAAAACTCCATGTACAAAGATTGATTTGATTTGGATTGTTTTCTCATGTTTTCCTGTACTTGTTTCAATGTTTCTCCATAATTTCCCTTCAAGCTTGGCCTGCACTCAGTCAGTACCTCTCCATGCCATCAAACTATTTCCTGCAGCAACCCACTCTATAAATAACCTCCCCTGTTTGTAAACATTTCTATTTTTGTTGAATTCGATCATTTGGGTTTGTTTTTGTTTCAATGATTTGAGTGAAAACTTGACTTGCTTATATAAAACAGTTGATATCTTTAAAATAATATTTGTGTAAGATGAAATGTTTAGCCCAGATAAAGCAGCAATTGGGTGGTGTAGCTTGAATAAAATCATTGGAAGCTGTTGGATAGAAACCAAATCAACTTCTGCTTGTGGGAAACATTTATTGCACTTGAATGTGTACAGCAGCAAATTGCTGGTCTCAGATACAAATCTGGAAAACATTTGTTTGTGAAATTGAAATGATCACTTTTACTTGGTCAGATTAATTTTTTAAACAGACCTGACTAATGTATTAATTAATTTTTTAAGTTGTATGGTTCAAGTTCTGGCACACAAAAAAGTATTCAAGTGTACTAAATAGTATTTGTATATGTATTAAAATGCCACAAAAACAGTATAAGTGAAACAATATATCATTTTCTATCTAATTGGATTGTTTCCCCTGTAGGACCAGTTTGTATTACAATATTGTTCTCTCCCAACACAAGGGCAAGTCACTCAAGGTTCACACCCAGCACTTGCTGTCTATGTGTGAACCAATGACGCCCCCTCCTGTTGGGCTGCTGGATCTGTTTATCTGTACTTTGTACTGGTTGTAAATAAACATTTTAAGATTGTATACTTTTGTTGACATTTCTTGTTGTTGAATCAGTACACATCATCACACAGTATCACATCATGTTGTGTAGATTACATCAGAAGTTGAGAGATTAAACTAACAACAGTATCCCATGTTGTGTAGATTACATCAGAAGTTGAGAGATTTAACAACAGTATCTCATGTTGTGTAGATTACATCAGAAGTTGAGAGATTTAACAACAGTATCCCATGTTGTGTAGATTACATCAGAAGTTGAGAGATTTAACAACAGTATCTCATGTTGTGTAGATTACATCAGAAGTTGAGAGATTTAACAACAGTATCCCATGTTGTGTAGATTACATCAGAAGTTGAGAGATTTAACAACAGTATCTCATGTTGTGTAGATTACATCAGAAGTTGAGAGATTTAACAACAGTATCCCATGTTGTGTAGATTACATCAGAAGTTGAGAGATTTAACAACAGTATCTCATGTTGTGTAGATTACATCAGAAGTTGAGAGATTTAACAACAGTATCTCATGTTGTGTAGATTACATCAGAAGTTGAGAGATTTAACAACAGTATCCCATGTTGTGTAGATTACATCAGAAGTTGAGAGATTTAACAACACTACTCTAGCTGTGAACTTTGTAGTGGGGCTTGGACAGATGCCTTACAGCTATCACACTTGATATATAACCAGGGTTTCTTTCAGACCATTTGCAATGCCTCTTAAACACCCCCCCCCCCCCTCCCCAGATTTAGATGGGTCCCTTCTACCATCAACTATTGAGAGGTTGGGGAGAGAAAGGAAGGGAGGTGCCAGTGTATGTCCTCCCCTGTAGGTGGAGCGTGGAACAGGGGCGGGTACTTCCCTGCCCGGGGGTTCTTGGCGTAGACGAAAGGGCTGAGCGAGGCCTGTAGGAGAGTCGAGGCCTTGTTGGCGGGCAGCAACATCTCGTAGGCCGGGTCCGACCTGTCGTAGCGGCTCACCTGGAAGTTGGGGCAGCGCCGAATGAACTCCTGATACTCGTCCAACTTCCGCGGCAGCTTCAGGGTGCTCAGCAGGTCCTCCGGGGGTGGGAGCCGGTACGGCCTCCCCCCGACTATCTTGTAGGTCCCGTAGCCAATCTCTGGTGTCTTTGGCCGGGCTGGCTTGTGGCAGACAAAAGCTGGCTTACCCCCGGGTATGCTGGGGGGCACAGTCCGACACACCAGTCCCCTGGGATCTGACGTGGGGTGGGGCGTGTCCAAGTCACATGTCAGACATTTGTTCACGTCTGTGGCCGGGATTCGATCCTCGGCGTAACAGACGATCCTGCCGCTACCTCCCGGCCGCGGGCCGCACGGCTTGAGGGGGCAGCACCGCACCCTGTAGGTGTGCTCCCGCGGGGAGTCCAGGGCGTTGTTGTTGGTGCACATCGATACCCCGTCACCTCGATACCTAGTGCCACGTGACCTTGAGACACGGCCGCCCAAATGTCCGGCAACTGTAGGTCCAGCCTGTGACGTGGGGGCCTGTGACGTGTGGTCCAGAATGAAAACATCGATGAGGAAATGGTCGCCGCTGCCATTGATGGAAGTCTCCATTGTGCTCAGTGGACACCGTGCCATCTCCTGCAGGGTGCTACATGTATGACAGATGTCAGTTGATGCCCCCCACATGACGCATTCTCCAGATTGTCCTACATTTCCGCTGTCAGAGAGGTGGTGATTGTTGTTGATATCTGCTACTTGGTAGCCAATCAGATTCCTCATGCTGTCTGACGACACCAAGGAGCGGTAACTGCCGGCACTGCAGTTCCTCTTGGCGCCAGTATGGGTGCCCGAGGTCTTGATCGAGTTGTCGGTGTTGAATAGCTGGTGAACCGAGTCGACATTAGCGGGCCCGGTGTACCCCGTTCGTTTCCCGAACCTTCTCGTGTCCCTCGCGCCATCATGTTGTGACGTCAGAGGGGTCAGTACCTGGCCAGCGACGCTGCCATCTTGTCCAGCATTGACCTGTGGAAGCCTTTTGGAATCAGACATCGATGGGGAGGAGCAGACGTTACTTCCGGTAAAGATGTCTGCCACGCTGTCGATCTTGGCTGGCAGGGTGTACCCAAACCTGCGGCCGAGTCTGACGTCACAGCTGCTGAAAGGTCTGGGGACTGCCTCACGTCTGCTGGCTGCGGGGCTCAGGTTGACGTCCCAGAGTTTGGCCACGTTGTCCATCTTGCCCTGGTCAGTGTACTCCCCAGCTTTTTTATGGGACCTTTTGCTGACCCTCCCCTCCGTGGGGGTATTAAGCTGGTCATTTGACGTCACTGAACTTCTGCTGTTGGCGCGTTTGTTGTTGTTGAGGTCGGCGACCGGGCTGAAACACGAGAAAGTTGTCGGGTTGTCCTCGAGCTGGTGTGTGTTTGATCCCGCATCTAGTGCGTGTAAACCTGAATCACCGACATGACAACCGCCAAAGTTACCCAGCGAGACCGCGTTCTCCGTGCGGTAAACGTTGGCAGGCGGGGCGCTCATGGTGACGTTCTCTCCCCTGCCGTGCTGATTCTGCTGGAAACATCCGGCGTCTGAAGCCTCGCCAAGATCACAGCAGACGGGTGACGACATTCTGCTGGCGGCCTTGAGATCCGTCTGCTGCCACGTCTGATCACACGCAGCAGACGTGTGGTAAGAGTTGAGCAGCGCGCTTTTTCTCAGGTCCATCGGCGGGCGGTTTTGATCATTTCTTCCACAGCCAGCTCGCGAACAATTACTCCGGCTGCAGATGCTGGTACAGCTGCTACAGCTTTCAGCATTGCATGTATTGTTCTCGATAGTCTCCCCACAATTCTGCTGGTGGTCTTTGGTTTCGCCACGTCGTAGGGGACGGAGAGTTTGGGCAAACGGTTTGTCGCGCATCAGCAACTCCTGTTCTTGCCACTGCGAAGTTTGATTGTTTCCCTTGTTTGGGTGACACTGCTGGTCTACAGAGGGCAGTTTTCTGTTTTGGTTGATGTCGTAGACAAAAGGCGTGACCTTGCTTGGTTTATCTTCCTGTGGGTCCTGACCTCCGCATTTAGTTGGCGCCCTCCTCTGTTGGCAGGAGTTGTTCCTGCTCAGGTGGGCGTCGGCCGGCTGGCACTCCACAATGAAGGGCTTATCCTCCCAGTGAGTGAAACACGGAGACTCAGTCAACATCCAAGGCTTGCCCTGGGCGATTCGCTTGACGTTGTAGCGCAGTGGGGGCTGCTCGTCCGTCACTTCTGCTAGAGACTTCGGCTGGCATTGTACAGGTGGGGGGCGGGCATACACCTGGTACCTGGGAGGGCAAAGTCCAGTGTAGGTACAAAATTGATTTAACGAATGAGCATGATAAAAATGGACATGTAATTCATAATACAAAGCATAACTCATCATCTCTATAGAAAGGCTTCGTTGTTATTGCGTTTCATGTAATTAAAAACCTTAAGACGCTCTAGAGTTACCATTAATTAAAAAACTTAAGGGGGAAGGCTCCGGTAAAAAAAACTTTTTTAATACTCGTTAGAAAACAGTTATTTCTATACAGCTTTATTAAGATACATCCGCAAATGCATTTCCACTAAAAAAAATTGGTGAAAAAATCTTGGTAACTATGACAACGGCGGCCATCTTGAAAAATTAACCCCTTCGTAGGTTTTCCACCATTCATAAAATATTACATTTTAAGCCCAATAAACAATTAATTCATAATCTTCTTCCATATTTTGGGGTAATCAGCTAAAAATTTTAAGTGCATATCTTCAAACTAATTTTTTATGAATTTTCAAAATTTGTGTCCGTTCAAAACACTAGTTTTAATGCCCCAAAATTCCCCAAAGTTAAGTGTTTTGAACGGACACAAATTTTGAAAATTCATAAAAAATTAGTTTGAAGATATGCACTTAAAATTTTTAGCTGATTACCCCAAAATATGGAAGAAGATTATGAATTAATTGTTTATTGGGCTTAAAATGTAATATTTTATGAATGGTGGAAAACCTACGAAGGGGTTAATTTTTCAAGATGGCCGCCGTTGTCATAGTTACCAAGATTTTTTCACCAATTTTTTTTAGTGGAAATGCATATGCGGATGTATCTTAATAAAGCTGTATAGAAATAACTGTTTTCTAACGAGTATTAAAAAAGTTTTTTTTTACCGGAGCCTTCCCCCTTAAGACGCTCTAGATTAGGTTACCTGTAATTAAAAAAACTTAAGACGCTCTAGATTAGGTTACCTGTAATTAAAAAACTTAAGACGCTCTAGATTAGGTTACCTGTAATTAAAAGTGTCAAGGCTGTCGGGGTTAATGAACTCAGCAGGAACTACCACATCCACATTGCGCTGTGCCTCCCACCAAAACTCGCTGCGCTGTCGTCTGCCTCTGTCAATCTCGTCCAGCTTGTTCTGGTGAACCTCTCGGCGGATCTGGTCTTTCAAAGGTTCATTCCTGAACAGCTCCCACTCGGGCTTCAAGTGTTCTGGCAACTGGGCCATCAGGTTCTTTTACACGCGACCCAAGCAGTGAACATGGCCATTGGTTGAAACTTCTTTATAACATCAACGTTTTATGATAGCAGGGAGGCTAGTCTTTACTTCATTATTTGGTGCGGTAGGGTGGCAATTTTTACTTCATTATTTGGCACGGCAGAGAAACATGGAGAACCGGAAGATGAAATAAGATGTGCACTAGAACATGTCGTCATGGCGCATTCAAGAGGCTTCGGTTTGAGGGTATTTGTGTAGGATCATTCCGACTATAGCAGTCTAAGAAGAGCATGTGTTGATAACTTGTACACGGCTAAAATTTCCGATGGGGGGGGGGGGGAGGGGGGGGAGGACGGACACTGGTAAAAGTATATATTTTCTGTATAAATTATATTTGGTTCGGAGGGGGGTGGGGGGAAAGGGGGGGGGGTTGGACGTTTTTCAGTTATAGCCTTCTAATGATGTTTAGATTTTATCATTGTGTTATATTGAGTAGGGTGGTGGTGGTCAATTTATCATTGTGTTATATTGAGTATGGTGGTGGTGGTCAATTTATCATTGTGTTATATTGAGTAGGGTGGTGGTGGTCAATTTATCATTGTGTTATATTGAGTAGGGTGGTGGTGGTCAATTTATCATTGTGTTATATTGAGTAGGGTGGTGGTGGTCAAGAATTGTGATGCATAACAAATTTTTCATTAATTGTTTTATTTTAACAAAATGTCCTCTGCTTGTCCCCCCCCCCCCCCCCCCCGCCCCGAAGGTTTACATTACAGACAGCGTCATTTAAGAAGGCGGTGTCTCAGAAGCGTATGCAGGGGAGAGCAGGGGCGGCCACTTATCTTGTGGCCATTTTCTGCACAGTGGCGACTTTTTGGAAAATTATTGAACTCAACACATTAAAACAATCTCATTTGTCATAAATTTATTTTCGGTCGGCACGTCGATGTAAATCACTTCCATACAAAATTTATTTTTGGTCGGCACGTCGATGTAAATCACTTCCTTACAAAAAATCTTTTGGTTGGCACGTCGATGTAAATCACTTCCTTACAAAATTTATTTTTGGTCGGCACGTCGATGTAAATCACTTCCATACAAAATTTATTTTTGGTCGGCACGTCGATGTAAATCACTTCCTTACAAAAAATCTTTTGGTCGGCACGTCGATGTAAATCACTTCCTTACAAAATTTATTTTTGGTCGGCACGTCGATGTAAATCACTTCCATACAAAATTTATTTTTGGTCGGCACGTCGATGTAAATCACTTCCTTACAAAAAATCTTTTGGTCGGCACGTCGATGTAAATCACTTCCATACAAAATTTATTTTTTTAAGCAGCATAAGACTAGTGTTAAATCATGACACCATTTTTGTAGCGTATGTTTACAATAAGTATTGTCACTCTGAAAATTAGCATTACGAGGATAAAAAAAAAAACTCGACGGTTATTAGATCCGAATAAGGTCTACAACCCCCCCCCCCCCGAACGAAATGGAATTTATAGAGAAAATATATACTTTTAACAGTGTCCGCCCCCCCCCCAAGAATTTCAAGTGCCCCCTCCCCATGGAGAAAAAAGTCTGGAAGACACAGATTGACTAACTACGCAAGGGCGTGGAATATTTCAAAATGTCAACACATCTATGTAGCATTTTCACCTGTTGGGCGATAAATCTAGTGATTACGATTACAAATTAAATGCAAGAGTATAGACTTTATATTTCTCACTATTTTATTTTACTTAAAATCTTTATATTAAATAACTTAAGCTCCATCATTTGATATTTAAAAAACTAAACTTGATCACACACGGTAATTAAACTAAGTATATTAATAGGCCATATCCACTTACAATTATATTTTTTAAATTCTTAAATGATTTACTTTAAAAAAAAACGGCATCGCCGCTCCATAGACGATCCCAAGCCTATTATGCTCATTTTATTACATCCGTTTAAAAAATAATCCGTGCTGTTTTTCGGCTGCTTTCAGATTTTGTTGGTGCTTAGTATGACTTAAACCGGAGTGTTTACCTTGTGTACTTGCTATGTCTTTCAAAAGTTATCTCAATAATAATAATAGCAAATACAAAACACTACAGTTTAGATATTATTAGAATCTAGATCTACTTTAAAAATAAATAAAAATGTTGCTGTCAAGGTTATGCACTGCTCACGATCATGTTTACTGTTTTAGTAGAATATTGTCTGGAGGTGTTAAACGCGTTCTAATCAATGCAAGTTTCCTATTTCAAAACTATATTTATTTTAAACTATTTTTTATTTTTTACGGTAATCTATCGTTTTAGGCTTTAAGTGGATCTACGTAAAATCGCCCTTGGCTAGTAGATCTAATGTACGAAAAAGTTACCTTATTGTAATGTTAAGGCTTTAAATAAAAGTAGATCTATAGATAGGCCTATTGTTACAATTGTGATAGATCTATATTACTATATTATTTGTGTCAAATATTAGGCCTATATATATAAATTATAGATAAATTTTAATAAACCTAAATCAATGGCTAAATAATAATAATATAAATAATAAAAATAAATCACTAGGGCCCTATAGCAGAAATTAACTTTAAACAACAGTGTTTGCGAGCAAGATTTGCTAAAAAAACATCAGCCTCAGCCATTTGTAAAATAGAGTGGCTTCCCCTGAATCTCACGCTATAATTTTACAAATTAAAAAAATTAAACAAGATGGCTCCTATAGTAAATGACTATGGTTTCATCTGTTGGAAACATCGCTAGTCTTCATTTATTACTGAAAAGTTTTAATTAAATTGTTTAAAAACAGATACATAAATGAAACAAGAAAACATTTTTGTATTCTTCAAAACATAAATCCTCCTCAAAATGTGAAATAATTATTAAAATTTAAGGAGTAACCTGTTTTTCACATTACAAATCACAGCGATTTTACCTTACCTAAAAGGATAGATTACAATTTTTATTTTCTCATAGTACTTTATATACTAATATAGATCTACTAGGCCTATATATATATATATACGAAGTAGATCTATATAGACCTAGTATATAGAAAGTATGTATTGTAATCGTGCAAAGAAAAATCACTGAGTCGGAAAAACATAGTTTTGCAATTTTGTCTGTATGTGTGTACGTAGTATGTGTGTCTGTAAACAAGATCAACTTGAGTACCGCTACAGCTAGGCTGATGAAATTTCATATATAATAAAATAATTAGGCCTATATAAGTATTATATCAATTTTGTAGTTCTGTATCAACTTTTCAGTGATTTCCGGTAACAGGAAGTGGTACTTATTCTACTTTCAATTTTTCAAAAGCCTATAACTTGAGTACTGTTTCAGATAGATAAGTGTAATTGCACATGTACTAATTCTCTGCCTGTATCAAAATTTGAGTAATTTCCATTGACCGGAAGTAGTAATTTACGCTATTTCCGATTTCTCAAAAATCGCATGTGAATTTATAAAGTACTAGTAATATTCCGCACTATCATACACATATTGTTTAGCTTTCGCTTGGTGTGCAATTCTTTTTTCTATGAGATTCTATTTTAAAAGTTTTAAATCCAGTTTTACAGTTAAATAACAATACAAAATTAAACCACATGTCCTAGATCTAAGGGCCTCTCGAATAACTTTGAGGCTTCTCTCGCTCAGGTCCATTAAAAATGTAGAATTTAGGCCTGCTACAATTTATAAATCAATGGTAGATTTGACTACTACTGATCTACAAGTAGTCTACTCCTTCATTAAATCTAGTTTCTAGTAGATCATCTACTAGACTAATGAAAGACAAATAGACCCAGTTTGAATCCCCCCCCCTCCCCAGACAAGGTTCAATAGCTGGGGATAGCAACCCATCTCTAAAAAGAGAAAATTCCAGAAGCAAAGAAAAACTGATGCCTTGTAGTTGTTCTTGGTTGGTCAATAGTTATGGAAGCAAATGCAGAAAGAAAAGTACGCTGAGAAATTGTAGTCAACGGCCTGTATAATGGCGCATTACAAGTTGATACTTAATTAAATAATTATGTTGGTGGAGAAAATCTCTTCTAGCATTACAATTAAGAAGTAGGTCACAAAATTATGTAATTGTTTTATTAAAAAAGCAAGTTTTAAAAAAAATTCTCAGTGCATTTAAAGTTATTAAGTTATTACAAAGGTTTTTTTTATAGTTTATTTCCTCCTTTTGGAAAATTGAGGCAATGACAGGGGTTCATTTTGCTGGGGATACAAAGTGTTGACTCAAAATAAGGGTTGGGGAGAGGTTTTGCAACATTAGCAAGTCATGTTTATTTAGTTAGGCCTAACTACCAGTAACCTAACTCCACTTTTTTAAGATTATATTAGTGTGTCTTTATTGGACACTGGTATCAGATATCCATCATACTTTGTAGTAATTGGTTCTTAATAAAGTGGACACCACACACGACTAATAATATAAACCTAACCAACTTGCTGTCTCTAAAAGACAAATATCTGCCCCTTAGGAGTCCAAGGTTCACTCTCAGGAACCAGCTGATTGAGTGATCACTTGTACTTAATCTTGTCATCTCCTCTTTTATTATTGAATTTGGTTGTCTTTTAATTTAATTCTAATGTAATCTCTGCATTCAAAAACTTGAAGATTTGCCACAAACATTGTGTACTAGATCAAACTATATGTGGGTGCTATTGTTTAGGTATCCTCATCAGTCGACTGCCCCAGCCATAAAACACAGGCTAAGGTGCCAGTACAAAAGTATTGAATGCTGATTTTATTTCATTTTCAGAGCCAAGTTCCTGCCAGTGGGCCACCTCTGCTGTTGCGCAGGGAAATTGGAATCTTAAAAAAGAAAAAAACTTTTCAACCCAAACATAAGTGGGATAAAGTTTCACCAGAGTTTTCTTTAATTTATGAAAGTCACCTTAAAAATTGGATTGTGGGTATTAAGGCATCAACAGTGATGTTTGGTGTACTGCTTGTCCCTGTTAGCAAGCTCCTTGTCAAAGCAAGTGAAACTGAAGCCATAGAAACAGTTGTTGGAGTTTCGTTTATTCTCACTTGTTTCACAATAGTTTATCTTTTTATCAATATGAAAGCCAGCCAATACTTGGTAAGGATTTACTATAAAAATGATCAGTTTATTGCAATCCATCGGAGTATTTTCGGGAGGTCCAAACTCATTCACTACACCTTGAATGACCTGAAGTCTGCAGCTAAGCCGGACTCTGAAAGGGAATATGCTTCAGTTATTAGACTTAGAAATAGAAACTACATCATATGTGCTGATGACTTTGTTAACACGCCCTACTATAACCTGCATATGGGTGAAGGATTGAACAATTTTTACAGTGGCCCCCAGTTTTAGATAGTGTTTGTGGTCTCCATAAATTCCAGTGTTTTGAGTCAAAAATGTTGCTATAAATCAATGGAATGTCCATTCAAATGTTGCTGTAAATCAATGGAATGTCCATTCAAATGTTGCTGTAAATCAATGGAATGCCCATTCAAATGCTGCTGTAAATCAATAGGATGACCATTGTAAAGTTGCTGTAAATCAATAGGATGACCATTGAAAAGTTGCTGTAAATCTATAGGATGACCATTGAAAAGTTGCTGTAAATCAATAGGATGACCATTGAAAAGTTGCTGTAAATCAATAGGATGACCATTGAAAAGTTGCTGTAAATCAATAGGATGACCATTGAAAAGTTGCTGTAAATCAATAGGATGACCATTGAAAAGTTGCTGTAAATCAATAGGATGACCATTGAAAAGTTGCTGTAAATCTATAGGATGACCATTGAAAAGTTGCTGTAAATCAATAGGATGACCATTGAAAAGTTGCTGTAAATCTATAGGATGACCATTGAAAAGTTGCTGTAAATCTGATGACCATTGAAAAGTTGCTGTAAATCTGATGACCATTGAAAAGTTGCTGTAAATCTGATGACCATTGAAACAATTAGACAGAGCACAACATCTAGTGCAGTACAGGAAGTAGTGTCAGTGTTATAAAAACATTTTTTAAAAGTTCAGTGTCCTGATGTAGTAAAGCTTACTTTCCTGATGTGTGAGAAAGTGGCTGATGCACAGTGTAAAAAATTTAAATAAACCTCCAGCGTGTTACCAAAATACTATTGTGCTCTGTTTTGTTCTATGGTGATTTATCCATTTTCATTAATTATTTTTTATGTACATCATGATCAAATCTTTGTCTCTAAAATAATTAGTTACTATTCTTTAAAAAAAACAAGCATTTAGGATGTACAATACCAACAAGGAGAAAAAGATTTTCATTAACAAAATTTTTAATACCTTAGTAGGAACATGTAACAGATTAGCCATAACAACCAAAATTGGCAAGATAAAACACACTTATCATACAGTAACAGTAAACATACTTTTTTTTCCTGCATTAAGCCAAAAGCTGACTTTATTGAGAATGGAACTACAGAACAGACATGATAGCAGGAGTTATTTGACATAATAGCAAGTTTTATTTTATTTCCTTGACAAGTTCACCAATATAAAAATGGCACTAGAAGAAAAATGTTTAAACACACTCAATGAGAATCCACCAACAAGTCATATATGAGATAGTGGCAACAAAAATATCATGTAAAACCTGAGGCACTTGTGTCTGGAAGTTCTCATGTACAAGCACATAGTCTTGCTGAGCAAGGTATCATAATGGGAGACATGGATAAAGTCAATGTTTCTAACCTAGACAAGTCATCACAAACAAGTTTAATGTTTCTAACCTAGACAAGTCATCACAAACAAGTTTAATGTTTCTAACCTAGACAAGTCATCACAAACAAGTTTAATGTTTCTAACCTAGACAAGTCATCACAAACAAGTTTAATGTTTCTAACCTAGACAAGTCATCACAAACAAGTTTAATGTTTCTAACCTAGACAAGTCATCACAAACAAGTTTAATGTTTCTAACCTAGACAAGTCATCACAAACAAGTTTAATGTTTCTAACCTAGACAAGTCATCACAAACAAGTTTAATGTTTCTAACCTAGACAAGTCATCACAAACAAGTTTAATGTTTCTAACCTAGACACTGGGGAGAAGGTTGGGTACACATGTACTTTTACGACAATATACTGGATACTCTTGGATGAGGTAGATCATGAAAGTTTGAGTTTGGCAAATTCTGTGGCAGCACGCAGCGCCTCGTCTAAACTTTGTGTCTTGGTGCCAGTAGCCTGAGCAGCCAGGTCCTTACCACCACCCTTACCATTGATGATTGGCACCACCACATCCACCCAGGCTTTAGCATTTAAACCAGTTGACAAGGATTCCTGGTTCAAAGAGAAAATAAATGCTTTTAAATTTTTTTACATCAACAAGAAGTCGATCAGGATAAGCTAAAATACAGGGGGATCAGAGTAAAGCTATGTTAATATTTTGGTTAACATTCTAGAATTCTAGCATTCAACAATAATTTGCAAATGTGGGTTTTTCATCAGACTGAAATAACAAAAACACTACTCTAAATTGTGAACATCCACATAATTTAATTAAGATCAGAAGCATCTGTTTATAATCAAACCCATTAGTTATGCTGCAACTGCTAAAGTTAAATTGTAAGTTGACTGTAGAGGAAGGATTAGTGTCCTTGCTTTAAGTTTCCTTTTAAACTACAGACTGATGTGCCTAGATACAGCTAGCCTTGTAGTAATGAAACAAAAAACCCTTGCCTTAGGTACACAACTCATACACAAGATCTTCCCTCCTTCCTCATCTACTGTGAAAAACATGGCAGAGGTCTGTGGGCTTGTTGCCTTATATTGTTTCATGGCAGCATCCAGGGCCTAAAATAGAATTCAATACATCTCTAATTTATGATGCAGTTGTGTTATCTAAAGCCTAATATAGAGTTCAACAATTCTCTAATTCAACACACAGTTCAACTCGACCATCGCCAAAACAAAATTTGAAAATTCACTAATAACATTTTAAAATCTACCAGCCATATCTATTTTGTTGCAACAGTGCACAAACATGCAAACAACAACATTGCACAAAAAATATGCAAACATCACACAAACAAATATGCAAACATCACAACATTGCACAAACAAATATGCAAACAAGACATCATTGCACAGAAACATTCTAACAACACAACATTGTAAAAACAATATATCTCACCAATTACAAAGATCAAAGTATTCTATTGCTTAAAAAATGGTTTGACAAGACTAAACCAAAAGTATGATGTAGGTATGTTGGCTCACCTTAGTGTTAGATCCAGCCTTGAACTCATGCACAATAAATTTCTGTTGTGGGTTTTGTTCTATCAGTTTCTTGGACTGTTCAACCACCTACAGAGAATAGTTCACAAGATTTATTTAAAATTCTAATCTTAGAAACTACAACACTCAACAAATTATCATTTCTAAATTTTGTTTTGTTGCCTTCTTTGAAAAAGTGTTTAATTAAACTTATTTAAAAAATGTTACCAACAGAATTTTGAATAACTAAAAAAAAAACATCCTTAGTTGACACTGCACATGATTAAAAATATTTGGTTTAAAACCCAGTAGCTTGTCATACATTAGCTCAACACAATTTTCTACACTTTATTTGCATCTGTGACTGTTTTATCATAACTGGTGAGCACCAGCTATAGAAATATATAATTATCTCCTCTGTTAGTACAGTAGTCTATAAATTAACCTTCAAATGATTTACTTAATATCTAATTAGGCTGAAAAACAGATCTTGCAATGTCATAAAAGATGCATTTAAACACAAAGTGTGAAACAAATTGCTCTGTTGCAAATGGGTCAGTATTGAGAGAGTATGACTAAAGTGAATATAAATAAAGTAAAACAGATACAACCTCATTGACAACGGCAGCTTTTCTTGCTTTGTCAATATCATCCATCTTTTTCTTCAAAACTTTCAGCTCAGACCTTAGTGAATCTCTTTTCCAGTAGGAAATGTTAGACTGTGCTATTTCCTGCTCATAAAAAGACAATGAAGTTAGTGCCCCTCAAAGCAATAGCAGCAGTAAATCTGTTTCACAACACTGAGTCAGTTTCAAAACAGTGACGACACATGCGTGAAGTTATACACTACAAATATAAATGACTTCTTTGGTTTAATCCACTCAATACAGACACTCTCTTCTAAATAAAAGAGATGACACCACAAGCAAGGTAGACAATAGACAAAAAAAACCAACATATTCACTGCATTTATTACATTATAAATAAAACCCAATTTTTTATATTTCCTGTTTTTTTTTAAAATTATAACTTTAGAAAAATCGTAGAAAATTTGTGATAAAACAACAAGAAAACGTGTAGATAAATATTTCCTGCTTTGCCTGTATCTTCAAAATCTCATAAATGAGGCTTCCTTACAATGCGTAAATAAACATACTGTAAATATTTGGAGTGACTGTGGGTGCACCAGACTATAACACAAAAATTCTTAGGGGACCAAAATGTATAGGACTGTAAAGGGTTAAGGCATAAATATAATTCTGTAACATGGCTGTCAAAATTTTAAAACTATGGGCAAAACCATACAACTAGGCAGGCAGCCGTGTACATAATGAGGGCAGACAAGATGAAGACCACTCACGTCATCCAGTGTAACTATCTCCTTGTTGAGCTCCCTGTCAGAAAACTGAGGTGTCTGCAAGTTGTTTTCTATCTTGACCCTCAAATTCTGGACATACTTCTGCAGCAGTTCTTGCCTGTGTGTGGCCTGTGAAAATTGGTTTGTAAAAACTTGTTACATGTTGTAGTCACCGCACATGAGGAATGAGAGCAGCCCATTGGGTCATAGCTGACCTCTACCCTAGCCCTGCTGTACATGTATTTTCCCATCACCATCTAGGAAGAGCAACCAGGAGCACCAGTTTACCTTGTGAGCCTCTGATCCAGTTAGAGCTATAATCCTCCTTACTCCTTTAGAAATGGCTTCTTCTGTGACAATAACAAAGTTTCCAATGTGTCCAGATTTTTTCAAGTGGCTGAAGGAGATGAGCAGTACAAAACATGACTATATGTGAGATGATAGCAACACAACTGGCCAACTATTAACACAAATGGCTAATTATCAACAGACCCAGAAATAAACAAGTAACAGAGTACCCCATTGTCATTAATGTTTATTAACCAACCTAACAGCCTAACTATTGTCAAAATTAAACCCAAAAACAGACTTACGTTCCTCTATATAACACCCCCACCAACACAACCAAACATATTTCTGATCCTCTATATAACACCCCCACCAACATATTTCTGATCCTCTATATAACACCCCTACCAACATGAACAATTTAACAGACTTACATGCCCCCACAAAACTCAACCTCTATATAACACCCCCACCAACAGTACAACCAAACAGACTTACGTTCCTCTATATAACACCCCCACCAACACAACCAAACATACTTACGTTCCTCTATATAACACCCCCACCACCATGAACAACCAAAGAGACTTACGTGCCCCCACAAAACTCAACCTCTATATAACACCCCCACCACCAAGAGTACAACCAAAGAGACTTACGTGCCCCCACAAAACTCAACAGTTGTTATAGAGCCCCCTGGACCATTAGGATCTGCTTCCAGATCTTCAATAGGAATACCAACAGAGACGACCCGCACAGGATCTGGGTAAACCTATCAAAGATATCAATCAATTAGCCAGTTTAGTTATTCATTGGTGGGAACTACTGCACCAACAAACTTAGGTAACAAGTTGATGATATTCACTTGAGAATATGAGCAGCTTACCTCGTCAAAAACTGCACGAAGTCCCTGGATGGTTTTAGCTGTGGCGAGGGGAGTTTCTCTGGCATAGACCACTTCATTTCTCCCCACCATGTTGGTCACTATCTCCTCAGCTGCCTTCACCTCCTGCACTGTCATTGCTGCCTGAAAGTAGAGACAGCAGCCATCTTAGTGACACAAACATACCAGTCACAATTTTAGCTGACCATTTTAGTGACACAAACATACCAGTCACAATTTTAGCTGACCATTTTAGTGACACAAACATACCAGTCACATTTTTAGCTGACCATTTTAGTGACACAAACATACCAGTCACAATTTTAGCTGACCATTTTAGTGACACAAACATACCAGTCACAATTTTAGCTGACCATTTTAGTGACACAAACATACCAGTCACAATTTTAGCTGACCATTTTAGTGACACAAACATACCAGTCACAATTTTAGCTGACCATTTTAGTGACACAAACATACCAGTCACAATTTTAGCTGACCATTTTAGTGACACAAACATACCAGTCACAATTTTAGCTGACCATTTTAGTGACACAAACATACCAGTCACAATTTTAGCTGACCATTTTAGTGACACAAACACACCAGTCACAATTTTAGCTGACCATTTTTGTGACACAAACATACCAGTCACAATTTTAGCTGACCATTTTAGTGACACAAACATACCAGTCACAATTTTAGCTGACCATTTTAGTGACACAAACATACCAGTCACAATTTTAGCTGACCATTTTAGTGACACAAACATACCAGTCACAATTTTAGCTGACCATTTTAGTGACACAAACATACCAGTCACAATTTTAGCTGACCATTTTAGTGACACAAACACACCAGTCACAATTTTAGCTGACCATTTTTGTGACACAAACATACCAGTCACAATTTTAGCTGACCATTTTAGTGACACAAACATACCAGTCACAATTTTAGCTGACCATTTTAGTGACACAAACATACCAGTCACAATTTTAGCTGACCATTTTAGTGACACAAAACAGACTTACGTTCCTCTATATAACACCCCCACCAACACAACCAAACATACTTCTGTTCCTCTATATAACACCCCCACATTTTTGGCAGACTATTTTATCAGTTTACCTTTGAAGAGAAGTCAAATCTTAACCTATCAGGTGCCACTAAAGACCCTTTTTGGTCAGTTTCCTTCAAGACATCCCTGAGAGCGAAGTTGAGAATGTGAGTGGCAGTGTGGTTTTTCATGATGGCGCACCTGCGTGGCTAGACAAACAACATGGCTTTTTACATGACAAACAACATGGCTTTTTACATGACAAACAGGTCTCTAATAGTTGATGATTAAAGAATCTCAGTAATTATTTTAATGAATTTTAATGAGATTTAATGAGACATACAATGCAAATAAGTTGAGTACAAGTCCAGTAGAAGAACAAACCTCATCAATGAGCAGCCTGACAGTGTCACCAACTTTAAACACACCTTCAACTGTGCCCACATGCAGCACATAACCTCCACGCACCTGCACATTCTTAACTCTGAACTCATCATCCTGAAAAAACACCAACACTATTTTCATAAGCTCTCTGCTAATCAAATGTAACCATTAAGTTTCATCAACATATTTGTACTGATCCCAGCAGTAAATATTTTAGTTTATTGACCATTTGCTGGTCATTTCAACAATACAGATCTGCTTTAATCATTTGTATCTAGTTAATCCAACAACCCACTATGTTTTCATCCAATTCACTGGGTATATGGGAGTAGAAAACATTGTAAGAATTCCAGGTTTTATAGTATATCAAATGGTTTATTGAAACGTTTCATGGATAGAAAATTAAACTCATATGGGTGCTTAACTCATTTTTACATGGATATAAATTCTACAGCATGAAGAAAAACTCACAAAATTTAGAACTTGATAAAAGAAGCCTAATATGCCTACTTTTTTCATCCGCCATTTATTTAAACATGGTGAACCACAGCAGTGGACAAAATTTTGAGTGTGTTGGTCAGGAGAAATTTACATTCAGAGATCCACGGATCTTACAGCAAAGGTCACATATCATACCTCAGCCAGCAAAGGTCACATATCATACCTCAGCCAGCAAAGGTCACATATCTTACCTCAGCCAGCAAAGGTCACATATCTTACCTCAGCCAGCAAAGGTCACATATCTTACCTCAGCCAGCAAAGGTCACATATCTTACCTCAGCCAGCAAAGGTCACATATCTTACCTCAGCCAGCAAAGGTCACATATCTTACCTCAGCCAGCAAAGGTCACATATCTTACCTCAGCCAGCAAAGGTCACATACCTCAGCGCCATCCTTGACAATGAAACCCTCATCGTAAGTCTGTCCCCCCTGCTCAGCATAGAAGTTGGTCCTGTCCAGCAGGACCCCACACTCCTGGCCTGAACTCACTGACTGGACAAACTCCTTGTTGAATCTCAGGCCAATTATTTTGGCTTTCACACTCTCAAAGGCTGGAGACACAACACACTAGGTGAGACTACTTCAACCAAATCTTGACCCACCACATGTAGAATACAACCCTACACACACCAGTTGAGAGACTACTTCAACCAAATCTTGACCCCCACATGTAGAATACAACCCTACACACAACACACCAGTTGAGATAAACAATTTCTAACATAGCTTTACATTTACAACAGATCCCTACAAGAGTAAATAGAGAGATGCCTGCATTGACTTACTGTAGTTGCCTTGGTCGTCTGCTTCATATGCATACTTGGAAGCATCATCTGTGGGTGGGATATTCCTATCTTTGAGATCTGTGAGGGAATGTACGTCTAGAGAGATCAGGTCCTCTTTGACACCAGTGCTGCCTTGAGACATGGCCTGGTAGATGAAAGCACTCTGTCTTTTACAACCATTGACTAAATGGCAGCAACTAAGATTTCACAGCTGCCACTTTCCTTCAGTAAAAAGTAAAGTTTACCATTTAGTGTTTCACACAACTGTTTGTTTTCCCCTGTCATTGTGTTCTGTGTGTCGTCCCCCCCTCCCCCTCCCCCCACCAAGAGGGCAATGTTACCAAGGAATGAGCTTTGGCCTCTTCAAATGCTGCCAGGTCAATGTTCATGCCCCTCTCCTCCACCATCAGCAGGGTCAGATCAACAGGGAAACCATACGTGTCGTACAGCCTCCAAGCAACGTCACCTGGACATAGACAAAATATCAGCTGCTACAAAAACTAACCTTACACTTCAACAACAAAAACTTTTTTTTTAATCCTACTGCCCAAATGGCTCAAGTCTGAATCTACAAAAACATCTGCACATCCATTTTAAATTATAACATTATTTTCTGTCAAACTTTCTGCACATCCATTTTAAATTATAACATTGTTTTCTGTCAAGAATTCTGCATATCCAGTGTAAATTATAACATTTACAGTAAAAAAAATAGCACATCCAGTTTAAATTTTTTTAAATATCCTGTCAAAACATCATTCAGCTTAAGTACAGAACACCTGCAAGGGGGTGGGGACCTGAGGTATACACATTACCATTATTAATTGTAAACAGATGCCAGGGTAAACAGATGTCATTAGACTGAAAAATAGAGGGGGGAGGGTCCACACATTTTCCAACAACCTAACTAACAACTTGCTAATGTCCAACAAACTAACCAACAACTTGTTAATGTCCAACAAACTAACCAACAACTTGCTAATGTCCAACAATCTAACCAACAACTTGCTAATGTCCAACAATCTAACACAACTTGCTAATGTCCAACAAGCTAACCAACAACTTGCTAATGTCCAACAATCTAACCAACAACTTGCTAATGTCCAACAATCTAACCAACAACTTGCTAATGTCCAACAATCTAACCAACAACTTGCTAATGTCCAACGATCTAACCAACAACTTGCCAATGTCCAACAATCTAACCAACAACTTGCTAATGTCCAACAATCTAACCAACAACTTGCTAATGTCCAACAATCTAACACAACTTGCTAATGTCCAACAAGCTAACCAACAACTTGCTAATGTCCAACAATCTAACCAACAACTTGCTAATGTCCAACAATCTAACCAACAACTTGCTAATGTCCAACGATCTAACCAACAACTTGCCAATGTCCAACAATCTAACCAACAACTTGCTAATGTCCAACAATCTAACCAACAACTTGCTAATGTCCAACAACCTAACCAACAACTTGCCAATGTCAAACAATCTAACCAACAACTTGCTAATGTCCACCAATCTAACCAACAATCTGACCTGGCAAGGATTTAACATCTCCCAGTTTGTTGATGCTCCTCTCAAGCAGGCGGTGACCTCGTGACAAAGTCTTAAGGAACTGAGCTTCTTCTTCATCGATGATTTCTTTTATCTGTTTAATGTAAATATCATACTTCCAGCAATGTTATACTTATTTAAGATCTGATTAACAAGCCACATCACACAGGTTATACAACTTTAACATCTGATTTTTTCAACAAACCACATCACACAAGTTATACAACTTTAACATCTGATTTTTTCAATAAGCCACATCACACAGGCTACACAAGTTAACAAAAAAAATATAACTCACCGTTTGAGGGTCTTTTTTCACCTCAGGAAAAGCATCTCCCTAAATGATAAAACAATGGTTTATTTCTTGAGGTAGTGTAGTACAAGACGGTTGGTATCTGACCAACAGTGGACAGACACAAGGTCACAATCTGACCAACAGTGGACAGACACAAGGTCAATATCTGACCAACATTGGACAGACACAAGGTCAATATCTGACCAACATTGGACAGACACTAGGTCACAATCTGACCAACATTGGACAGACACAAGGTCAATATCTGACCAACATTGGACAGACACAAGGTCAATATCTGACCAACAGTGGACAGACACAAGGTCACAAAATGACAGTGGACAGAGACAAGGTCACAATCTGACCAACAGTGGACAGACACAAGGTCAATATCTGACCAACAGTGGACAGACACAAAGGTCACAAACTCACCAACAGTGGACAGACACAAGGGTCACAAACTCACCAACAGCTGGACAACTGTGTCCACTAGAGAAGAAAACATGCCTGGCTTGGCATTCAGTTTTTCAGTTGCATACCTCACGGCACGTCTCAATATTCTTCGCAGGACATACCTGATAGATCATAGTTCAAAGGTCACCTTCACTCTCACAAAAACATCTCAAACAAGCCAACCCTCCATGTCATGTTATGTAACCTAATGGTGTCATGTGACCTAATTGTGTCATGTGACCTGCATGGGCCACAAAACCTACCCTCTGTGTCATGTGACCTGCATGTGCCACAAAACCTACCCTCTGTGTCATGTGACCTGCATGTACCACCTACCCTCTGTGTCATGTGACCTGCATGTGTCACAAAACCTACCCTCTGTGTCATGTAACCTAATTGTGTCATGTGACCTGCATGTACCACCTACCCTCTGTGTCATGTGACCTGCATGTGTCACAAAACCTACCCTCTGTGTCATGTGACCTGCATGTACCACCTACCCTCTGTGTCATGTGACCTGCATGTGTCACAAAACCTACCCTCTGTGTCATGTGACCTGCATGTGTCACAAAACCTACCCTCTGTGTCATGTGACCTGCATGTACCACCTACCCTCTGTGTCATGTGACCTGCATGTACCACCTACCCTCTGTGTCATGTGACCTGCATGTGCCACAAAACCTACCCTCTGTGTCATGTGACCTGCATGTACCACCTACCCTCTGTGTCATGTGACCTGCATGTGTCACAAAACCTACCCTCTGTGTCATGTAACCTAATTGTGTCATGTGACCTGCATGTGCCACAAGACCTACCCTCTGTGTCATGTGACCTGCATGTACCACCTACCCTCTGTGTCATGTGACCTGCATGTGTCACAAAACCTACCCTCTGTGTCATGTGACCTAATTGTGTCATATGACCTGCATGTGCCACAAAACCTACCCTGTGTCATGTGACCTAATGGTGTCATGTGACCTGCATGTACCACCTACCCTCTGTGTCATGTGACCTAATGGTGTCATGTGACCTGCATGTGCCACCTACCCTCTGTGTCATGTGACCTAATGGTGTCATGTGACCTGCATGTACCACCTACCCTCTGTGTCATGTGACCTAATGGTGTCATGTGACCTAATGGTGTCATGTGACCTAATGGTGTCATGTGACCTGCATGTACCACCTACCCTCTGCCTGTGTTATCTGGCCTGCCACCATCAGCCAATGTGACAGTGAGAGTCCTGGCATGATCTGCCAGTACCCTGTAGGCCATGTCCACACCATCCACATCTTCAGCACCCACTCGACCCTGGTACAAGGGACAACCTGTTGCCTAACAAAGTGGGACAAAAATTGTAACAATGTGCTAGATAAACTGTTGCCTAACAAAGTGGGACAAAAATTGTAACAATGTGCTAGATAGACTGTTGCCTAACAAAGTGGGACAAAAATTGTAACAATGTGCTAGATAGACTGTTGCCTAACAAAGTGGGACAAAAATTGTAACAATGTGCTAGATAGACTGTTGCCTAACAAAGTGGGACAAAAATTGTAACAATGTGCTGGACAACCTGTTGCCTAACAAAGTCCAGTGTTAAGTTAAGTACATGTTGGGGAAATGTAAGTGGTTAAGCATAGAATTGAAGATAATATCCCTCTATATGCCAAGGTCTGCCCCATTGAGCCCTGAAAGATTGTAAAGAGATGTGTGTACCTTCTGTATGGCAGCAAAGAGAGGCTGGAACAGATCTGTATCGTAGTTGGACCTTTTGTTCTGTACCACTGATACCATGCGCTCAAAGCCCATACCACAGTCAATGTGCTTGCGAGGTAGAAGTTTTAGTGAGCCGTCGCTCTCTCTATAAACAAGAATTAAGACTCTCCACATGTGCAGCAAGTTCAAGACATTAATAACTATCATAACTATCATAAACTACATCAGTGGCTTGCCTATCTAAACATAAAGAACTGGCTTTACACCTAAATTAAAAACCACCTCAGTGGCCTTACTATCACTGAATAGATTCATGTAAACTGAAACAAAGGAGTGTCAACTAGCGGATTGATTTGTTAATTTACAAAATCATATTTTTAGTTCAGGTAGGGTATTCATTGTTTATTTATTTTAAAATCAAACGTAAACCACGGTACAGTTTGCTGTTGTTTAATGAAATCTACGGCAAGTAATGTTTATAAAGCAGGAAATACCTGTTGTATTGTATAAACACAAGATTCCAGATCTCCAACACATCCGGGTCATCCATGTTGACCTTTTCTTTTGCATTGCGTCCACCGATACGGTCATAATGAATTTCAGAGCAAGGCCCGCATGGTCCTGTTTCCCCCATCTCCCAGAAGTTGTCCTTCATCCCAAATGGGAGAACTCTATCAGGGTCCATGCTGCTCAGGAACAACATCAATAATACAAATCTACTTTAGAGCTTCTGAGTTTAAAACATCAAATCTAAACATCTGCTGGGTGGCTATATGATGACTGATACAATGACTCAACAACAACCCAAGACTGACCCACAACAAAAACTCACCCAAGCCCAATCCAAATGTTTTTTGCCTCATCATCAGGTTCTAGACCAAAAGCAGGATTTCCACCAAAGTAGGTCACATACAGGCGGTCTTTATCAAGTTTTAACCTCTCTACCAAGTACTCATAAGCCCATGTACACACTTCTCTCTGAAAACAGTGGTTGGTTAACTCTTGTATTGTAGAAAGCGTTATATTGTGATTGCTATTTACTGAGAAAGACAGTTAAGAAAAAAGCACCTTGTAGTAGTCCCCAAATGACCAGTTTCCCAACATCTCAAAGAAGGTGTGGTGGTACACATCTTTCCCCACATCATCCAGGTCATTGTGTTTACCTCCTGCCCTGACACACTTCTGGGAGTTGGCGACTCTCACATACTTGGCCATGTCACTGTTTGGGTCAGCGATGCCCAGGAAAATAGGCTTAAACTAAAGGACAAGAAAAACTCAATTCAGACTCAGACAAAACAAGTTTCTGCAAGATTTCTTACATAAACAGTTTCTTTATGACAATTTCTGGTACATAAACTAACATTAATTGTCTATTTTTACTGATATAGTGCTGCTAACAAGGCACAGCCTTGAAAGTTAAAGAGCTTGATTGTACCTGATTCATTCCAGCATTGGCAAACAGTAGAGTAGGATCATCCAGAGGAATAGTTGATGAAGAATGAACATACTCATGTTCTTTCTCCTTGAAAAAATTGATGAAGCTGTCACGGACCTGTCCTGCATCCATCATCTTGTCTTCCTTGAGCTAACAACTCCCTAAACATGAAGAAACAAGACACTATTTGTCTAGCTATATAGGCCTACACTTTTTATTTCTATGTTAGTGGGAGGGGGGTTGTGTACTAGTGGATGCAACAGTATCATAATAGAGTAATGTTGCTGGTGTATGTTCAAATGCAGTTTTCATAAGGCCTCGCCTTTTATGTTATGCTTCATTCAATTATTAGAATGCCCATACTAGATCTATATGTTTAGGTAAATAGGGTTTTTGGTAAAACAGTGAGGAATCAAATAATAAATAGTCCTCATATAAATTGACAACCATAAACTCTACAACTCTACATAGTTATGTAAGTAATCTAGTTCTGTCTGTCTAGGCCTATACGTTTCCAATCAAGTTTGAAGTTCAATTGTGCAAATTTGATGATAATAAAAAAGACTTATATGCCTATTAGTCTGCACAACTACACATTACAGTACACCAATATTATGTAATAAATAAGCCTAGATATTTAATAATTAATTTAAAACAATAAAATGTAGAAAAGTTAGAGTTAATATGCCAGTTGCTAGTTCAAGTGATGGGCCTAATGAAAAAGAAATAAAAGGCTTATTAAGTTTATTTGTTTGTTAGCTGTGGTTTTGTAGGAATATACCAGCCCTTATTAAATATTCAGTGATTTGAGTTTTTTTTTTTTTTTTTTTTTTTTTTTTTTTTTTTTTGAACTAGATCTAGATCTAGTAAATTACTGTTCCCTGATAGTTTAACATATTATCAATACTTATACTATCATTCATACTATTTCTAGATCTATCAATCAGCAATTATACTATGGCCAAGGCTAATCCTTGTTGGCTACTGCAATATTCAAAAGTTTCTCTAGTGTCGCCTGCAAAAATCTAGGGGACAAGACTTCTTCCTGCAAATATGCACACAATCACGTCACTAACAAAGAGAGATTATAAAAATGAAAGTCACCATTCATAAATAACAGCAAAAAAATCTAAGTTTGGAATTTAAAATAAATTCCTAATACAAGTAGATCTAGTAATCTTATGAGTTCGAACACTGGCATGACAACCTAAGAATAGAATACGACTAGAATACACTAGATCTAGATCTAACTAACAATTACAAATCTTAAGTTGTAAAAAATAAGTAGTAAGTAGATCTATATCTAGAGTCTATTCCTAAGTCTAAAATTAGTCCTTAGGCCTAGGCCTTAGTATTTTTAGTAGGCCTATAGGCTATAATAATAGTCTATATGAAAACTAAGCTAGATCTAGAACTGTGAACTAGAAAACTCACAAGACCTAAAAAAAGTAAAAAATCAGCAAATCTAGACTCTAGATTAGTCTAGATCTTAAATCAAAAGCTTTTTTTGGCCTTTGATGAGGGGTACAGCGGTTACCCTTGTAGAATCTATGTATTCAGATATTTCCTGTTAGAAAACCTGATTATACCAGTTCACCCAAACAAGAAATCGTTAGGCCCGCTCTATTTATTTAGATTCTATATTTAATATTTATTTATTCGTTTGTTGTGATTATGACGCAAGTGCAAGCAAGAAGATTCTTAGAGTAGACTGTGTCAGTGCCGTAAAGAAGTGATAAGGCATTTAAAAATAAACTAAATGTGTCTATGTTCGTTTATTGTGCAATACGTTAGTTTCTAATAAAAAAAAACTAAAAACCTTAAGATCTTATGTCTTATAAGCTTATTATGCCACATAAGCTACTTCACACAGCTGTGTTAAATTGTAATACCAACCTAAACAATGTGAAAGTGCGCTCGTGGTGACGACTGCTTGGTTTGCGGTGTAGGAAACGTTTATTTCACAAAATGTGAATCATAAATAGCTCAAAGGGTTAGCACTGTTTTTATGTAGATGACTATTACGATTGATTAAAAAAAATTCGATTATTAATTTTTGTTTCATTTTTTTTGTTGTGTAATAATGTTGAAGCTATGAAATTTGCATTTCGCTTTGACATAATCTAGGATATTATATGGAGGTTTCGATTTTTGTCCTGACCGACTATTAAGCCAGCAGTTAAAAATCAGCCAAAAGTTGTTAGGTAGCTTGTTGACCAGATCAGCTAGTGGGTCCGTGCAAATTTTATAGCCTACTACTTTGACTTATAGTTTATAGTACTACTACTAGTGACTAGTCATTTGAGATCAATCTAGATTCTTGACTATTCTAGAATCTAGATCTAGATACCTATATTTATTTATGGCAAAGGATAGATCTAGATAAAAAAATTTAAAAGTAGGCGAAAAAGTTCGAATTTTAGAAAAAATTAGATCTATTATTATTAATATTAATTCTACGAGAAGAATGGCCCGTTGAGGAAAGAAAGATACAACGGGCGCTAGGTTGATAGTGCTATGTATTTTCTCGAAACTAAAACCAAAATCACCATCATAATTCAATTTAACCGGAAACAAAACATGACATTGAAAACGTATTTTTATCCAGAATTGGTACTTTAATTTATACAAAATATAGGCATATCCATAAACTTTCCATGCACCTAATCAGTCCTAATCTCATTCATGACAAAAGTTGCATTTAGGTTTCTTTCAGGCAACTCTACTTGGGAGGAGGGGGCTCCACCCCCCCCCCCCACCCAAAACTTGTCTACCGTCCCATTCAACAAAATATAATTATATACTTTTTCCAGTGTCTGCCCCCTCCCAGAAAATTCTACCCCCGCCCCCCAAAAAATTCAAGTACCCCCACCCCTTGCCGGGGAGGAAAAAGTCTGAAAGAAACACTGGTGTCGCGCTTAGCCACTACCCGAAGAATTGCATGAAAGAAACTGCAAGCAAACCACTTTTTAGATTAGACACATTAATTAGGCGGTAATTTTATTATAGAGTATGGATGAAGAAATTTCTTTTGAGTTGGGGAGGGGGGGGGCTCAGAAGTTTTTACGCGGGGGTGGGGCTTCGCCCCTACCCGAAGAATTGTATGCAAGAAACTCTTCACGCAAACCACTTAGATTAGACAAAATTGCCTTTTTATTCAATGTTTACTCGAGAATCAATGACGTCATATTACTGTGTGCACTCTCCAGCTTGATACCATTTTCTACTATATGCTAAATGTGACGTCATATTTCGTTTTTGTTTAACTATGCATGTTTTTAATTTGCTTGTGTTTTCTCTAGAGCGTTCTTGTCAGATACATAGATAGATAGACAGATAGATAGATACACAGACAGCGAAACTATTAGTATTAATATTGAACTTATTATAATATAATATTATTACTTATTAATATTATTATTTTCTAACTTAACCGCTGAGTAAATAATTGATGAAAATGAAAGGCTAATGCCGCCTTAGTAAATAATTATTTAAGAAAAAACTCTGATGGGGCTCTATACTATACTATTGAATTAAGAGCTAACCTCAGCATGTGAAGGCATTGTGTGTGGGCAGCCTATAGAAGAGAGATACCACCTTTTACTTCTCATTCATAGTTTCCACTGGCCCTTTATTTATATTATAACTTGTTATAGAAATTTTCTACAAGAAATTGTATTAGTCTGTTTTCCCATGAATGTATTATGTACTAACTTTATTTCCGTTGTTTGAGTTGGCTTTTGCAGGGGTTCCTATTGAACCTGTCAATAAAAAAACTAATAAGATCTATATTTTATTTCCCAATTTATTTTTCAAAATGATGAAGTTTTAACCGGGTCATTAGTTTGTTACATTTGCGGCCTATTTGGGGTTTGTTTATTAAAAGTCATATGGTACATCCCATATTTTCCTAAAATATTTACATGGTAAAAAAATGCCCACTAAATGCCCAAAGAAACACTCTGGTGTAATATCTAAATAGTTGATTAAAGTTATCTCCCCTCTATTTGCACATCAGAATGTTATAAATAGAATACTACATTTATGATATGTACAAACAAGGTGATCCCCTCGTAATGTAAACATGGACAACAGATTTTCATGCTATTTCTCAAAAACTGAAACCAACTTTCTTTCATGCATCCCTCAGCTTTTCTTGGAATGACTCCATCACAAGTTTACCCTTAAATTACAACCTGTTGACTACAAATGGGGACATCAATGTACAGCATGGACAACAATAAAAACAACAACTCTTTTTTCTGGAACAATAGATGTACATTTATTGAGCATGAAAACCTGACATGAAGGTGCCCATTGCTGGGCACTTAAAAGCCCCAAACCTTATAGCATCAACAGAAGCAGTTTGACCTGAAAGCACCAAAATAAGCCAGTCATTTGATAAACTTAATTTCTAGTCCAATACTTTGAGCCATTGTGGCCGGCATATTTCTATCATTCGGTACATTTGTGTTATATGGTAGCCAATATAAAGCAGTGACTCACTATGGTAGCCAATATAAAGCAGTGACTCACTATGGTAGCCAATATAAAGCAGTAATTCAATGTTTGAAATCTTTGGCTCTTGTAGCTATAAATACATCACTACACTGACACTGGCAAAATAGCACTGATTGACATGAGTAAAAGGATTGTTTACATTTTATCTTTTTAAGCAGAAGTGGAAGAAACATGGAGCAACATTAACAATGATTAGGCAAGCTAGAGTACATATGACACTGTAAACATTAGGTCATGTGACAAACATTAAGGTCATGTGACAAACATTAAGGTCATGTGGCACAGTAAACATTTAGGTCATGTGACACTGTAAACATTCAGGTTGTGTGGCACTGTAAACATTAAGGTCGTGTGACACTGTAAACATTATGGTCATTTGACTATAAACATTAAGGTCATGTCACACTGTAAACATTAAGGTCGTGTGACAAACATTAAGGTCATGTGACTGTAAACATTCACGTCATGTGACACATGTTAACAATAAGATCATGTGACCATCACACGAGACACTGGGTCAAGATATTTTCACCTGTCTGTCAACAGGTAGCTGGTACATGCATGCAGCAGACAGCAACAAACAGGTGACAGTTAAACTAGTCTAGGCTTCCTCCTCAGCTCCGTCAGCCACGCCCTCATCTGTATCTTCCTCCACCGTGGCCTCCTGGTACTGTTGGTACTCTGAGACCAGGTCGTTCATGTTGGACTCGGCCTCAGTGAACTCCATCTCGTCCATGCCCTCACCAGTGTACCAGTGGAGAAAAGCCTTACGACGGAACATAGCTGAAACATAGGGCAAGCTCATCAGGGTGTGGAGATACAATACAAGCAAACTGCTTGCAGCTAGCTCAAGCTAAAATACAAGTCACTTACAGCTAGTTCAAGCTAAAATACAAGTCACTTGCAGCTAGTTCAAGCTAAAATACAAATTACTTGCAGCTAGTTCAAGCTAAAATACAAGTCACTTACAGTAGCTAGTTCAAGCTAAAATACAAGTCACTTGAAGCTAGTTCAAGCTAAAATACAAGTCACTTGCAGCTAGTTCAAGCTAAAATACAAGTCACTTGCAGCTAGTTCAAGCTAAAATACAAGTCACTTGCAGCTAGCTCAAGCCAAAATACAAGTCACTTGCAGCCAGCTCAAGCTAAAATACAAGTCACTTTTCCAACAAAATTAAAATGTATGGAGAATGAAAACTAAGAAATGTGGACTGAATAAAAAGGATTAATGGGTTAGATCTACAAGCAGCTCTTGAATTACTGCTACAGAAATGTTTTATTTCAGTTGTACCAGACCAAAGGGCATCTCAAAGCTTCTACTAGATACCAGCTGAACTTACAGAACCACTCTAGACAACAAACCTGTAAATTGTTCTGAGATGCGCTTGAACAGCTCCTGGATGGCCGTGTTGTTCCCAATGAAGGTGGCAGACATCTTGAGACCACGGGGTGGGATGTCACAGACCGCAGTTTTAATGTTGTTGGGGATCCACTCCACAAAGTAGGCGGAGTTCTTGTTCTGGACGTTCAACATCTGCTCGTCAACCTCCTTCATGGACATGCGACCTCTAAACATAGCGGCCACAGTGAGGTAGCGGCCATGTCTGGGGTCACAGGCGGCCATCATGTTCTTGGCATCAAACATCTGCTGGGTCAGCTCAGGCACAGTCAGAGCTCTGTACTGTGAACTACCTCTGGAGGTGAGGGGGGCAAAGCCAGGCATGAAGAAGTGTAGACGTGGGAAGGGCACCATGTTGACGGCAAGTTTCCTGAGGTCAGCATTCAGCTGTCCAGGGAACCTGAGGGAGGTGGTGACACCAGACATGGTGATGGATACAAGGTGGTTTAGGTCACCGTACGTGGGTGTGGCCAGTTTCAGCGTCCTGAAGCATATGTCATACAGCGCCTCGTTGTCAATACAGTAAGTTTCATCTGTGTTTTCTACAAGCTGGTGGACAGAGAGGGTGGCGTTGTAGGGCTCTACCACTGTGTCAGAGACCTGCAGACAAATGTTAAACAACATGAGACGATGCAGACCTAGCCTAAGCTACTTTTAGAGCTGATGAAGCAAAGAAACAAGCTGAGACTGACTTTGGGTGAGGGGACCACAGAGAAGGACGTCATGATCCTGTCAGGGTACTCCTCCCTCATCTTGCTGATCAGCAGCGTGCCCAGCCCCGAGCCCGTGCCCCCACCTAGAGAGTGGGCCAGCTGGAACCCCTGAAATCAACATGTAAAGTCATCTCACAACCAAGTTCAAGGTCTTACTCATCACTACATGTGTATGCCAGTTTTCAGACAGTACTCCCAGTAAAAAATTATTTTTTAGTCAAATAAGCTACTGATTGGAATCAACTGCTCTGGTTCTAATCACAAGTAAACAAGTACCCTAACAGCAGATGGATTCTTTTTTTTTTCATTGACCTACATAGCCAACTTTGACTTCCCCCAACTCAAGTCAGGTATCCATTAAAACTGTGTGGACTCAGGAGTTTCCTACATTAGAAACATGTTGCCCAACCTGAGCCTATTACTGCTAGGTATGGACATGGAGCCCAACCTGAGCCTATTACTGCTAGGTATGGACATGTTGCCCAACCTGAGCCTGTTACTGCTAGGTATGGACATGGAGCCCAACCTGAGCCTATTACTGCTAGGTCATCATGTGCTCAACCACCTGTACCATCTCACTCATTTTAAACCTGGTTTTTCCCACCACAGGTGTAAACTTTACCTGTAAACAGTCGCAGTTTTCTGACTCCTTCCTGATGACGTCCATGATAGCGTCCACCAGCTCAGCGCCCTCTGTGTAGTGGCCCTTGGCCCAGTTGTTGCCTGCTCCAGTCTGGCCAAAAACAAAGTTGTCCGGCCGAAACAGCTGACCAAATGGACCAGACCTTACAGCGTCCATGGTCCCTGGTTCAAGATCAATCAAGATGGACCTCGGCACATATTTGCCACCTGTAGGTGCAAACAACAGTTTGTAAATACAATTTCAAACACTGTCATGTAGTGACATATGTCACATTCAGTTTACTTTTGGGTGGTGGTGGTGGATTTAATATTTTTTGGTAGTCAGGTGACTGAGATTTATTAGATTGTTAAGTTTTTAAAGTATCTATTAGTCCAACTAAAATTATAGTTGTCAAAAATTAAGGCATATTTTTCAATCCAGTGTCCAAAAGTAAAATTTTAGGGGCTGTTTGCCTTGGTAGTTGGAAGACTCCAGACTCAGCATTTTTGCCAAAATTAGATGGAGGAGTATTGGTACCAAAGGGATGATATGATTTTTCTTGAATGTTACATGAATTTGGAATTGGTGATTACAAGCCCACTGTCTATTGTAATAAAACTTATTTGAAGGTGGGCGTGGTTGCTCGTGGAAGTAAGGATTGCAAATAGTGAGGTTAGGGTAAGCGCTGATCTGACTGACCCCCCCCCCCCCCCCTTAAAAAACAACTTCTGGTAAATGTGGCCAGGTTTTTACCCGATGCCTCTGTGTAGTACACATTGATTCTCTCCAGCTGGAGTGGGCTGTCCCCGTGGTAGTTGCCAGTTGGGTCGATGCCATGCTCGTCTGATATACACTCCCAAAACTGAAACAATGTACGGTAAAACTCTCATTTCTCACATGAAATAAATTCAACAAAAAAACAAGTAGGCCTATTCATGGAGTTTAGCGTAAAATAGTTGTGTTGTAAAAATGAAGATTTACATTTTTTTGTTTAACTGTGTTCCGGGGTAAATGGTATGACCTAACTTCATCAGGTTCACTCTCTAACTTAAAGGTCACGGTCTCACTCTACAAACCTGAGCTTACGTCATCGTGTTCACTGTTTAACTAACTTGTTTAAAAAACTTTTCTCATTAAGGAAAGTGTCATTGTCGACTATTGATTTACTGTGGGTGACATTTTTCTCACGTCTGTGCAAGAAGGCAAGTCAACAGAGGTCTCTACTGGCCGGTTACGTGTCAATGTAGCAGGAGAGAGTGGTCTCTGTATGACTCACGGTCTACTCACCACTGGGTGCGAGGACAGGTAATCGGGATTTCTCGTGGGCTGTTTCATCACAGCATCTGTGGCTCTATGAATGGGGGAAGCTAGTGTATATGGGGGGGGGGGCGGCTCGAGTAAAATTACTTCTTCGGTTCTTTATTTTTTGGTAGGCCTACATTGCAAGCACACAATGTCGTCGCTGATAGACCGCCTAAGTAAAATAACGAAGGCTGATGACAGGGGTCCCTAATGATATGCCAGGGCTAGGCCGGACAAGATTTAACGACAATTAGAGGCATTAGCTTTGGTTAGAAAAACACAGTCGCTATTATTTCTACTGCTATAGATCTATGTGTCTATTACTATTAGCTTTCGTTAGAAAAACACAGTCGCTATTATTTCTACTGCTATATATCTATGTGTCAGTCTAAAGGCTGGAGACACGCGGCTATTGTAAAATATTTGATCCGTCAAAAAAGCTCAGTTTTACGGTAGTGTGGGCTAACCAGTGGCTAGCGATGTGTTAGCATGGCAACCAGCAGTAGAGCAGCTGGTCGTCACTGCGACATTCCGTGTTTTCTGGCTCCTCGGGATCGATGGATTGTCTAGACCGGTCGGGCTGGGGAAGGGGGGGGGGGGGGTGTATTATTCTAGTAGGGGGTGGGTGACGGTACATTGCTGTAGCGAGCACGCCTGTCGAGGCTGAACCAAAAATATCTGCTGATGCAGACGTATGGAGATCAAAGAAATGGTAAGGCTACAAATGTATCCAGTGCTCCAATAAAAGAAATGGTAAGGCTACAAATGTATCCAGTGCTCCAATATATTCCATCGAACAATGGACGACAGTAGGCGATATCTTAGGCTTCATGTCATAGCAAATCATTACAGATCTACTTCTGGGGAGGGGGGGGGGGCATCAAATCACTACAGGTCTACCTCTGGGGGGGGGGGGGGAGCATCAAATCAGTACAGGTCTACCTAGATCGTCACCGTTACTTCGATCACCACACAAACCTAGAACATGACACCATGCACATCACACATACCAAGAACATGGAGTCGTCGTTCCCCACACCCCTGGGTTATATATCAATCTGCCCCCCCCCACACCCCTGGGTTATATATCAATCGGCTCCCACACCCCTGGGTTATATATCAATCTGCCCCCCCCCCCCCCACACCCCTGGGTTATATATCAATCGGCTCCCACACCCCTGGGTTATATATCAATCGGCTCCCACACCCCTGGGTTATATATCAATCGGCTCCCACACCCCTGGGTTATATATCAATCGGCTCCCACACCCCTGGGTTATATATCAATCGGCTCCCACACCCCTGGGTTATATATCAATCGGCACACTTCTCAAACACATAGCCTGCACGTGCCTGCAATAATTATCCGCTGCCAAATAACTAGGGCACGAATATGTATGGGTTAGCCGGCAATCTTAGTGCCGGCAGTATTGGGCCAGTTTACATACATGTTTGCCGGCACTCTAAGATTTCCGGCAGTAAGGGGCCGGTTTACATACATGTTAGCCGGCAATCTTAAGACTGCCGGCAGTATTGAGCCGATTCACACTCGTTAGTTAGTCGACAACACGCCAATGGGCTAGCCGTCTATGTTGTACCGTCTATCTTTCATCTAAAGACAACAAAGCACGTCCATAAGCTGTGTATGTTGTACCGTTCATCTAAAGACAACAAAGCACGTCCATAAGCTGTGTATGTTGTACCGTTCATCTAAAGACAACAAAGCACGTCCATAAGCTGTGTATGTTGTACCGTTCATCTAAAGACAACAAAGCACGTCCATAAGCTGTGTATGTTGTACCGTTCATCTAAAGACAACAAAGCACGTCCATAAGCTGTGTATGTTGTACCGTTCATCTAAAGACAACAAAGCACGTCCATAAGCTGTATGTTGTACCGTTCATCTAAAGACAACAAAGCACGCCCATAAGCTGTGTATGCAGGTATTTCACGGTCAGTCAACGTCTGCAGGACGTGCTCATGACATCACTCACCACTGGGTTCGGTGTTACCTGTATGTGTCTGTTTATATGCTCTATGTATATGCCTGTGTCGCCCTTATAAGGAAGTGTATATGTATACCTATATCATTTTTTTCTGAATGTTTTAAAATTGTTTAGGAAGATGTTTATTAAGGCCGAGCTAACTACCCCATTCAACTAAAACAAAACCGTCTACTGTCTCTTTCCCGACCCCCCCCCCCTCCAAATGATACATTTGTTATCATCTATAATTAAAACTATGCAAGCGTTTTTTTTTACTCTCAATTAAAATACGCATCATTTTCTGCGAGATGACATCTAATGTACACAACTTATTGGGAGGACATCAGATGTACACAACTTATTGGGATGACATCAGGTGTACACAACTTATTGGGATGACATCAGGTTACACAACTTATTGGGATGACATCAGATGTACACAACTTATTGGGATGACATCAGATGTACACAACTTATTGGGATGACATCAGATGTACACAATTTATTGGGATGACATCAGATGTACACAGCTTCTTGTAATAAATGCACCACTATTTTCTGTATTGGCAGGATTTCCTCATTGGTGTCACCCCCTTCCTGAAGACACCATCTTTTGTCTATGTTGTGGACCGTCCATCTGTGTTTACTGGTCCCATCTGTGTAACCCACACATCTGTGTAACCCACACATCTCTGTAACCCACACATCTGTGTAACCCACACATCTGTATAACCCACACATCTGTTTAGCCACACATCTGTGTAACCCACACATCTGTGTAGCCACATCTGTGTAACCCACACATCTGTGTAGCCACATCTGTGTAACCCACACATCTGTGTAACCCACACATCTGTGTAGCCACATCTGTGTAACCCACACATCTGTGTAACCCACACATCTGTGTAACCCACACATCTGTGTAGCCACACATCTCTGTAGCCACACATCTGTGTAATCCACACATCTGTGTAACCCACACATCTGTGTAACCCACACATCTGTGTAACCCACACATCTGTGTAACCCACACATCTCTGTAACCCACACATCTCTGTAACCCACACATCTGTGTAACCCACACATCTGTGTAGCCACATCTGTGTAACCCAATAATCTGTGTAGCCACATCTGTGTAACCCACACATCTGTGTAACCCACACATCTGTGTAACCCACACATCTGTGTAGCCCACACATCTGTGTAACCCACACATCTGTGTAACCCACATCTGTGTAGCCACATCTGTGTAGTCACATCTGTGTAACCCACACATCTGTGTAACCCACACATCTGTGTAACCCACACATCTGTGTAACCCACACTTCTGTGTAACCCACACATCTGTGTAGCCACATCTGTGTAACCCACACATCTGTGTAACCCACACATCTGTGTAGCCACATCTGTGTAACCCACACATCTGTGTAGCCACATCTGTGTAACCCACACATCTGTGTAACCCACACATCTGTGTAACCCACACATCTCTGTAGCCACATCTGTGTAACCCACACATCTGTGTAGCCACATCTGTGTAACCCACACATCTGTGTAACCCACACATCTGTGTAGCCACATCTGTGTAACCCACACATCTGTGTAGCCCACACATCTGTGTAACCCACACATCTGTGTAACCCACACATCTGTGTAACCCACACATCTGTGTAACCCACACATCTGTGTATCCCACACATCTGTGTAACCCACACATCTGTGTAACCCACACATCTGTGTAACCCACACATCTGTGTAACCCACACATCTGTGTAACCCACACATCTGTTTAGCCACACATCTGTGTAACCCACACATCTGTGTAACCCACACATCTGTGTAACCCACACATCTGTGTAACCCACACATCTGTGTAACCCACACATCTGTGTAACCCACACATCTGTGTAACCCACACATCTGTGTAACCCACACATCTGTGTAACCCACACATCTGTGTAGCCACATCTGTGTAACCCACACATCTGTGTAACCCACACATCTGTGTAACCCACACATCTGTGTAACCCACACATCTGTGTAGCCACATCTGTGTAACCCACACATCTGTGTAGCCCACACATCTGTGTAACCCACACATCCCTGTAGCCACACATCTGTGTAGCCACACATCTGTGTAGCCACACATCTCTGTAACCACACATCCCTGTAGCCACACATCTGTGTAGCCACACATCTCTGTAACCACACATCCCTGTAGCCACACATCTATATAACCCACACACAACCTGAGTCATAGGATTTTGCCAGCGTGGAACCTCGGCCTTGACCTTTTGAACTAGGTCAAATTTCTCATACTTGCCTGGGTTACTTCCCATCACACGATTGTAAATGAATGCCCCCCCCCCTCCCCCATCTTGATGGGAAACTAAAACCAAAACATCGGGACTAGGATCGTCATACAACAAGACGGTTGGTGTATGATTAATTAACTCCTTAATTAAAGTGATAATTGTTCTAAATCTGGAGACTGAATTTTGAAATTTATTTTTAAACAAAATATATGTTGGTGTTGGGGTGTGTGTTGGGGTGGGTATGTGGTGTTGGGGTGGGT